AACCTTTACTCTGCACCTTGGGCTATTGAGAAATATGAGGCGCCGTTTTCGCATTTGGTATTTTGCTATTTACTGCCAAAAAAGTGATATCACCTATTCGAATATCTGATATCACCTATTCAATTGGTGATATCAGCTACTCGAATAAGTGATATCACCATTCAACTTCTGAATAGGTGATATCACCTATTCGAATAGGTGATATCACCAATTCGAGTAGGTGATATCACCTATTTGATTTGAATAGGTGATATCACCTATTCGAATAGGTGATATCACTTATTCGAATAGGTGATATCACTAAATGGCAATAAATACCAAAACGGCCCCTCATAGAGAAGTGTCTGAGGGTTCTTCATAGTCACAAACGCCGAACTGACACAGGACCTCGGTCTTTAAAGTCTCATGCCTCCGAAAGACTCGTGACTTTTACTTCTATTACCGGTCACTACCTATCTTTACGTCTTAGGTTTGACGCGATGCCTGTAACCGGGAACGAGAATCGAACCTGGTATCTAGCTTCCGATCACAAAGAGCGCCTGATCACTAGGCAACCGGTAAAGATGTTTTTCATAAGTGTTCAAAGAAAAAAATAACATTACTCAGCTTATGATTTTTTTTTCAGTTTATAATTTTTTATGCATTTATAATTTATTCATATTATTATTACTGTCATCATCATCACCATCATCGTCATTTCATCGTCATCATCATGTTTTTTTTTTTCTTTTTGTTTCCACATCTGTCACACATACATGGGATATATTTTCATTCCAAAGGAAGAAGCATGCAGGTAGTGGCTTTTTTATTTATGAATTTTGATTTTTTTTTTTCTAGTGGAAGTAAATAGATGTCATATATATTTTAATAGTTAATTTTGTATTTGTTGCCACCCAGCAAATTCACAATTAAAATGTATAATGTGAAATAAGGTCAAGACCTAGTAAATGAAAGGAGCCTACAGATTTCTCAAATTTGAGAAATAAATTCCTTTAATGATGCTTTATAACTATAGCTTGGTCAAATAAGATGTATCGGGGCATAATTTGTAGATAAACAAGACTAAAAATCATATTTTAAACTGTCATTTTCAATGACAAATTAAGAAAACCATTCACGAATATGGGAGTTTTTTTCCAAATCAGACAAATGAAGGGTATCCAGATTGCCCACAGTCTCTCAGAAAACGGTAATTTGTGTGTTCTTGGCCTCTTCTTTAAAATAAAATCAAATTGAATATAGATATCGGGATTAATTTTCACATGATTTCAAATTAAATTCCATGAAAGTAATTTATTTTCTACATAATTCTATTAGAGCCGTAAAGTACGGGAAAAATAAAGTTTAAATTGATTATGACGTCATAATGGATCTAGCACCAAAAAGACAGTCTAAAGTTATTTACTAGATCTTGACCTTAAGCAGGACTCATGGTTTTAATTAAAACAGGCTTGTGAAAAAGATTGACTACTATAAATGATATACTGACATGTATAAGCAATACTGAAATTTGAATTTTCACTTCGTTTTCGATACTTGCTTTTGTTCTGTATGAATGATGTTTTTATCATTTCTCTTTATTTTTGGTGCAAATAATGTGCTTTTCATTAGTATCACCATGTATACTAAGTACTTAGTATATATGTTCCTGGTATCATAATCTAAGGTGTCTGCTTATACGCGTTCGCAAAAGTTCTTTTTTATTCGAAAGATTTTACTATGTTTAGCGTCGACTTTAAAATCAAAATGTATATCTTTCTTCCCACAAAAAATTAACATAAAAACCAAATAATAAAAAATATTATTCGATTACGGGACGGCCATTTGATTCTGATGGGGGAAGGGAGGGCTGGTAATTTTTCCGAGTGATCAGATTATTTATTTTCATGTCGGTGAAGGACAGATTAATAATATGTATTTTTATATTATTATAGTCGAGGACAGATTATTTTCTTCTTCACTGGAAAAAGTCTGACAAGCAAAAATAAAAAAAAAAAGGTGGTTGGAGGGGCGATTGCCAAACTCTAAACTTCTATTTGCTCGGGGTGGGGGAGTATCACCAGTCAAGGACAGATCATATATTTTCTTGCCAGTCGAGGACGGATTATTTATTTCCAACATTTTCGAGGACAGATTAATTATTTATTTCCACCCCCACCCCCTCGGAATCAAATGGTCGTCCCCTTAGTAATAAAATTAATTGCTCATTTTCATTTGGGAATGTTCTTCACATTGCAACAAAATTAAGAATAAAAATGGCTTGATGGAGTGTAGCTACATATATTTCTTTGATGGATAATAGCCATCTCGGTTACGTTAAAGCTTAAAAAATGTGTAAGGGAAAACACAAAACTCCCCTTCCAACCTTCCGCCAACAGAAGCCTGTGCCCAAGGCCATAAACTGAGAATAGTCTTAAGTTATTTTTTTTATAATTTTATTTTTCATGCGTGTATAAAAAAAATTCCATGTTCATATAAAAAAAAAATGATGAAAATTTTGTTTGATTATCAAAATTATTCCAGAAGTTATTTTCATTTGAAATTTTGACTGAAGTCTGTTTTTAGTTTATGGCCTTGAGGCCTGGCCCAGGGATCATGAAACATCTTAATCTGTTTACTGTGCTGAAATGATTTTGAAGTCAAACAGTATACGCTTATTTCATGACTACGAGGGGAACAGTCAAACTGTTGTCCCGAAGTAATGAGGAAGACCTAAGAAACTGTTGCCCGAGGCCGAAAGCCGAGGGCAACAGTTTCCCAGGTCTTCCCCATTATCGAGGGACAACAGTTTGACTGTTTCCCGAGTTGTCATGAAATAAGTGTTTGATTACCTAACCTACTATATAATTTCTTAAAGTAATGATATCGACATAATAATCAATGGCTTTTAAAATACATCGACAAAAGTTTGTATTATTTTTTAAAACCAAACTAAACAAGATGAATACATGTATCAATCAAATCCTCACACCGATTGGTGTAAAATCAGAAAAATTAATGGGTGTGATATTATCATGCACTAATAAATTGAAAAAACAAACAAACAAAAAAAAAAAACATGTGGTTAACAACACAATGATGTCTTGAAGATTTCAATATTATACGTTTATGGCAAAGAAAGGGGCCTACATTTTTCCCAAATTACCCTCAGAAAAGGTGTTCATGGCCTCTTCTTTGAATTGATATTAAATTGAATATAATTTATATTGGTATCAGGATTACTTTTCAGATGATAATAATTTCAAATTGAATGAAAATGCTGAGTCGGACGTTTTAAAAGGCAAAGATCTATAGTGAGTGAAAGGAGCCTACATTTTTCCAAAATTTCCCTTAGAAAAGGTATTCTTGGCCTCTTCATTCAAATAATATTAAATTGAATATAATTATATGGGTATTAGGATTACTCTTCAAATGATAATTTCAAATTTATTGCCATGAAAATGCTTCAATTTATACATAATTCAATATTAGAGAGGTTGAGATTTCATACGTGTACGTGTACGGGTACGTCTAGTAGGGGAATTCCCTAAATTTCTTGCGTATTACGTCATCATGTTTTGCGTTGATAAGTTTTCTACACGTTCCTACAACTTGTAAAAAGGCATCTACACGTAGGTGTAAACTTGTAGCTTTTCAATAAAAACTAGTCAATTTATGTGTGAAACTGTTATTGCTGTTAATTATTTAGGATGTAAAGTTTCATGAACACTTATTTTAACCATGTTTTGTTCACTAACTAAAGTCAAACTAATGTCACAAAACTACTAAATAGTTGAAACAGAGACACCGATTACACTCTACACGTTCACGTTACACGTCTTTAAAATCTCAACAGACAAATGACAAAAAACGTGTACGTGTACGTCAAAGGTGCACACGTACACGTACGCGTACAAGTTTAAAATCTCAACCTCTCTATTATAAGCTGTAAAGTACTGGAAACTAATTATGACGTCATAATGGATTAGTTCAGCCATGCAACAGGTAAACAGTTTGACTGTTTCATGATTTGCAAAAACATTAAAATTCAATTTCAATTTATTTATTTACCCAAATGGACCCAAATGGAACCCAAATGGACCCAAATGGAACCCAAATGGACCCAAATGGAAATCAAATGGACGCAAATGGAAACCCAAATGGAAATCAAATGGATCCAAATGGAATATTAAACATATATTATGGTATTCTCAAGTTGTTACTTATTTAAAATATGGAAAATAATGAACTTGCAAATGGAGAATATTAATTATTCATCTCTAATATTTTATTTTAAAATAAGAATTAATCTTTTTTTCTATTTGTAATAACATTTGCATATCATTGAATACAAAATTGAAGTATTTCTTTTTAAAGTTTATATAGTTTTCATGGCCGTAGGAACCGTTGGGGGGCACAGACCTGCCCCCCCACTTCCCCCCATAATTTTGCCGATATATAGAATACTAAAGAAAATTAATTAGTGTTTTAAAATACAATATAAGAAATGAATAATTAATATTCTACATTTGTAAGTTCATTATTTTCATCAATAAGTAACAACTTGATAATACGATAATATATATCTAATATTCCATTCGGTTTCCATTTGGGTCCATTTGATTTCCATTTGGGTCCATTTTTTTCCATTTGGGTTCCATTTGGGTAAATCGACATGCCGATTTATTGCTTCACCGAACATGTTGGCATACAACCATGTTACAAAGAAATATTTAACACTGCGTCATCAAACTGCTGTTGTATTGTAAAAAAAAAAAATTAAGAATTTTAGTTCACAAGTAATAACCATTTTAGAGATGTTTGAAATTTTGACTTAAATTTAAGTTTGTTTCTTGATGGTGCCTGGTACAAATAAATTAACTATTTCGGGAATTTTTTTTCCTACCAAGCCAATACATGTATTTAGTTCATACATCAAAGTCACACAAAAGCTTACTTACAGGTAATTTTGTAAGAAACCTTGAAGCCTTTGCATAACACTGTTGTGTTTATCAACGTCAAAGGTCGAGAGAAAGTAAAACGGGGTGAAAATGTAGAAACAAATTGAGAAATCACGCATTCATTTTGATCATGATGGAAGAACATCAAAGACTCATTAACAATGCAGATGGTATTTTAAAAAATCATCATTTTATACAACGAAGTTGATGTTAAGATTCATCGAGTCTTTGACTTTTCAGCTGTTTTGTAAATCTGTTGATAATATGTTTTACTGTGTGACCGTTGGGGCGAGCGCAGTCCTTTACAAAGCTTACACTTGTAACTTGATCTACCTCTGCTCTTCAAACTTCAAACCGCACGAGACAGTCTAGACTGTGGCGTCACATGACGTCTTATGTAATTTGCATTTCCACAACGGAGCAAAAATCAGGTCCAGTACAATCAGTACATTTAGCTACGTAACAAAAATTACCTACCGTAGCTTTATTTACCTACCTCAGGTAGCTTTATTCAGCTGTTTCAAGGCAACTTTTCACAATTTTCCTTTTTATTTTAAAAAGACAAAAAATCCCAAGTAAATGTCTACAAATATTTATTGTAGGTATTATTTAAAAACCAATCTAAAGCAGAGATAGTTTTGACATTGCTGTGTTTGAACACTTATAAGGAAAAGATGTATTTCCATTGTTTGAGTAACTGTACACCACCTTGTGTGCGATGAGGCATGGATAAGTACATGTATGATTACTTTACATTGGACTCATGTTAACCAAAACTGGTTTTCTTTGTTATTTCACTCAAGAAGTAACTGTTAGGTCACAAATTAACTGTTGTATATAGCCTCAAAACTTTTAGAACTTTGATTGCAGTTGTGCAGAAAAAGACACAGCTCCAAGAGGGATTTTATCTGGAATTGTTTTCAGATGAGATCAAGGTTGAATATTATCCCTGCATCAAAGTGCAATTTTCTGCACTTTCTGGGAAAAATGCTGATTTAAGAAATTAGTTTGATTTAGTAGCTAAATAAAGCTACTTCAGGTAGGTAAATAAAGCTATGTAGATAATTCAAGCTATGTAGCTAAATCTAGTGATTGTACCAGACTTGTAAATAGGCCTAGTGCTCTTTTTTTGGACGAAAGGCATTGTAGTATCTGTATGCAATTATTTTTTGTATCTTTGAAGCTCTCTGCAAGAACTAAATCATTCACAATAACTATGGGGATGTTATATTTAAGAAATAATTCCTGCGTCGTCAGAATTGTTGGAGAATATACCACGATCGTCGAGAGATTTTGTTGGCAAATAAAAACAAGCCAGAAGGGCAAAGAACACTCTTCTTTGATGTCAATATTCATTTTAGCCTTCAAAAACAAAAGCCACAATGAGTTAATTTGTTCTTAATACTTGAAACTGTATCAATGTTCTTCTTTTTTTTTTTTTAAAATAATTATGAGCTTTAGAGACTTGCATATGTGCAGGGCTCAACATTAACATTTGTAGAATTGTCCATGTAACGATCATTTTTTGATTGGACAAGTCAAGTTCCAGACACACTTTTACTTTTATGGAGTATTGTAAATTTGAAGAAAAATCCCACAGAATTCATTAAACAGTGTCCTTTTTTTTTAATTAGAAAACTGTAAACAATTATATTACAATCTTAAGTGCTCAGTCCTATTTCACCGGATATATTTAAATGACAAGGGCTATCGAGACCATAGGTAACAGAATGTGCTATAGATTTTATATCAGTAATGTTTAAACAATTCTCTATATTCAACATCATCTAGAACTACTTCATTTTTTAGAATAAAGTTTTACAAATTCCTTTTATTCAGAGTCTTTTCAATCTAACAGTATTCAGAGTCGGACAAGTTAAATAACAATATTGAATAAATCTGGATAAGTAACATATGTTGGCAACTTGTTTGATGTACAAGTGAATATTTTAGTTAATAATATTGAGCCATGTTGTGTCTGTGTATCAAGTTATTAATAATCTTCTGATTGAAATGATGCTACATGTATAAAAGTTAAATAAGTTGAAAATGTCTCATGTAGCCCAAAAAACATGATTTATTTTGAAACTAGAATTGCTTTCAAATGTAGAAACAGCTGCAAAAAGCTAGGCATTGATCTACACAAAACATTGGCTGTATTTAATAGGCTAAGGGATTTAATTATGAAAAGCAACCAGCCCTCAGCTATGTACATGCACCATATCTGTGGGTAAATTATCAGACAATGTATACTTTTTAAACTTCAAAAGATTTGGGGGGTTTTTTGAGGGGGGGGGCATTTTTTTTTTTTTTTTTTTTTTTGCTACAATGTTCTCACGTTCAACAAACTGAATCATGTGCATTAATCTTTATGAAAAATTGTATGAACATCTCCTTGGGATTAACAGATTAAGAATTTAATTATTGTGATAATCATTGAATACAAATCATGCTTGTATTTACATGTACTTAATACATTTTTTTACCACTTTATATTTGAAATGGAGTTAGCACTTGTGATCATGAAAGATTGTATTTATCATGTTGATAATGTGTATGTCTCACTGCTTTACAGATGGATCTTTAGGTGAATCAGAAGAAACTGTTTATGAGGATGCTATTAAGCAGACAGGTAAAATTTTGTTTGGTTTATTTATTGATATATTTAATCAGATTGTAACTAATAGAGTGAACATCATGAAGAAATTTAATTATTTTTTCCGGCACTGAAAGCCACTTGCATCAGATTTTAGTCTAAAACAGAACAAGTGCTCAACAGCTGATGTTGATTTCAGTAGTTGTAATAAGGAATATAAACTATTTTTAGCTCACTTCAGTAAAGTTGGGGGACTTGATACTCTCGGCATTAATGTCAGCATCCCAGGTTAAAGTTTTTCGAGAAGATTTCTTTCCAAGCACTTCTATGCTATATACTCTAAATTGATCAGTGATGCATGAAATTCATGAATGATGCATCTAGTATGTTTCACTGTACCAGTCAGGTTTCAGATGCTGCATTTTCAACCAATATATTCCATAAAAATGACCAAGTTAATGTTTTTGAAGCAGGTTAAAGTTTTTGGAGCAGGTCTCATTCCTGAGTAAATCTAAGCCCTATGTTGACTAAACTTGCTTAGATGATACTTCTAGAGATGTACATACCAGACTTGATTTGGAGGTTAGATCTGACCTTCATTTTCTGGATGAGTGACCAAGTTAGAGTTTTTGGAGTAGGTTATTCCAGTGTAACTTTATGCCATATGTGGATCAGAGTTGCATGGATGATTCATTTAAGGATGAAAGTTTCCAGGCTTGCTTCGGATTATGGATCTGACCTACATTTTCTGGATGAGTGACTAAATTAAAGTTTTCTGAAGAAGTTCATTCTAAGTTTTAATTACTATAAGCCGTATCTCAAAACACTTGCATGGATGATGCATCTAGGTATGCACAGTACCAGAACTGGTTTGGATACTGAATTTTCTGGTTGATTGAACAGAAAAAGTTTTTGGAGCAGATCCATTCCAAAATAGCAAAAAATCATATCCAGACCAGACTTGGAAATGCATAAATGTTTCATATAGGGATGCACATTATCAGAACATTTGTTTAGCATGGGACTATGCTTTACTTAAATATATCATTCCTTGATGTGAGCTATGCAATCTTTGATTACCTATGTTTAATTGCAAGTTTACCATGATTATAATTTTTCTGTAGGCTATGGCAAGTTTCACTGGTTGGTCCTCATTCTTTGTGGGTGGGCTGTATCAAGTGATGCCATTGAGGTTCTCTCTGTGTCCTTCATGCTGCCATCAGCAGAAAAAGACCTCAAGATGTCCTCTGAGGACAAAGGATGGCTTAATGCAATTATTTTTGTTGGTAAGCATTCAAGAATTCAATCTCTTTGAAATAATTCTCAGGAAATTTATAGTGATATTTAAACTTTTTTAAAGTTTTATGGATTTTCACCAGCATATCAAAAGTGATTGCCCATATTTTTTTTGTTAGTGAAATTAAAGGCCAGGTATTACTATAAAATATGGGTGAAATATCACTGAATTAGCAAAGACCTCTAGACAATCATTAAATCACGCATGTTATCACATTCTTTCATTTTCATGTGATTGTTTTTATCAGGTATGATGATAGGGGGTTACTTCTGGGGCTCCCTAGCAGATCACCATGGTCGTCGTACCATTTTGTTAGGCTCGCTGACTGTGAATGGACTCGGAGGACTAGTCTCTAGTACATCTCAGGTCTTCTGGCTCTTCCTTTTAGCCAGATTCATTAGTGGTATAGGGTATGCTTTTTTGTTTAAATAAAACTTAGGAACTTGGTATTAAGTTAAAAACTATTCATGACTTTCTTTCAAGCTAAAATTCATCTAATTTAACCCTGATCTATATGAACATATTGTACTTTAATTTAAATTACATGTAATTTTCTTTTTTGTCTTTACTATAAAGTAATATTGCAACTTTTGCAACAAAAGAGCAGTTGTGATGAAAAAAGCAGTGCATGTATTTTAGCTCACCTGAGCTGAAAGCTCAAGTGAGCTTTTCTGATCACCCGTTGTCCGTCGTCCGTCCGTCTGTCTGTCTGTAAACTTTTCACATTTTCAACTTCTTCTCAAGAACCACTGGGCCAATTTTAACCAAACTTGGTACAAAGTACCCTTGGGTGAAGGGGAGTTTAAATTGTTAAAATAAAGGGCCAAGTCCCCTTACAAGGGGAGATAATCAAGAAAAGACAAAAATAGGGTGGGGTCATTAAAAAATCTTCTTCTCAAGAACCACTGAGCCAGAAAAGCTGAAACTTATGTGGAAGCATCCTGGGATAGTGTAGATTCTAAATTGTTCAAATCATGACCCCCGGGGGTAGGGCGGGGCCACAATAGGGAATACAAGTGTTACATTGAATTATATAGGAAAAATCTTTAAAAATTCTTCTCAAGAACCACTGAGCCAGAAAAGCTGAAACTTATGTGGAAGCATCCTGGGGTAGTGTAGATTTTAAATTGTTCAAATCATGACCCCCAGGGTAGGGCAGGGCCACAATAGGGAATCCAAGTTTTACATTGAAATATATAGGAAAAATCTTTTTAAATCTTCTTCTCAAGAACCACTGAGCAAGAAAAGCCGAAACTTATGTGGAATCATCCTGGGGTAGTGTAGATTTTAAATTGTTCAAATCATGACCCCCGGGGATTGGGCAGGGCCACAATAGGGAATACAAGTTTTACATTGAAATATATAGGAAGAATCTTTAAAAATCTTCTCAAGAACCACTAAGCCAGAAAAGCTGAAACTTATGTGGAAGCATCCTGGGGTAGTGTAGATTCTAAATTGTTCAAATCATGACCCTCGGGGGTAGGGCGGGGCCACAATAGGGAATACAAGTTTTACATTGAAATATATAGGAAGAATCTATAAGTCTTCTTCTCAAGAACCACTAAGCCAGAAAAGCTGAAACTTATGTGGAAGCATCCTGGGGTAGTGTAGATTCTAAATTGTTCAAATCATGACCCCCGGGGGTAGGGCAGGGCCACAATAGGGAATCCAAGTTTTACATTGAAATATATAGGAAGAATCTTTAAAAATCTTCTTCTCAAGAACCACTAAGCCAGAAAAGCTGAAACTTATGTGGAAGCATCCTGGGGTAGTGTAGATTCTAAATTGTTCAAATCATGACCCCGGTGGTAGGGCGGGGCCACAATAGGGAAACATTGAAATATATAGGAAAAATCTTTAAAAATCTTCTCAAGAACCACTGGACCAGAAAAACTGAAACTTATGTGGAAGCATCCTGGGGTAGTGTAGATTCTAAATTGTTCAAATCATGACCCCCGGGGGTAGGGCGGGGCCACAATAGGTATTACAAGGGGGGAAGTCTGGTAATGAACAGCATGGCCAAAGTTACTTAGGTGAGCGATGTGGCCCATGGGCCTCTTGTATTTATTTTCCATCTCTTTTTGAATTCATTCATTCATTCATTTATTTATTTATTTATTTATTTATTTTTTTTTTTTTTTTTTTTTATTTTTTTTTTTGAGTAGGGTAGGAGGAAGCATTCCTGTGATATTTTCATACTTCACTGAATTCCAGCCAAAAGACAAGCGAGGGAGAATGATCAGTGCCTTAGCCACATTCTGGATGTTTGGCAACATCATTGCAGCAGGTCTGTGTCAATCAAATGAATTACATCCATGTCAGTATTGTAGAACAAAACACAAGATTCACGAATTTCTAAATTTGACTCTGTAAAAAAATTTAAGAACTTATGAATGTGTTTTATATGTAAATGAAATAGTACCTATGATATCTTAAAAGACATATAATCCAAGGTGACTATAAATCCATAGAATGATGTAATTTGTTTTAATTCTGAATGTGTTTATTTTTCAACATAGCTCCTGGTGAATATACATGTAACTGTTTACAATTATGTACTTTATTTGAAGATTTCTTAAACATTTTATATATTTTATATTTTCATATATTTATTATTTTCTTAAATACAGTGCATGTGTTTTGCACATTACACATGTAATTTTGTAATTGCTCTCTGTTACAGGACTGGCCTGGTCAGTTATACCTTTAGATATAGGATACACCAGTCCTAGCTTTAAATACAATAGCTGGAGAATATTTGTCGCCCTTTGTACCATTCCTAGTCTCTCCTCTGCTGTGTTCTTCATCTTCATGCCTGAAAGTCCAAAGTTCCTACTCACAGTAAGTATACTCAACAGATGATGTGTCAACAACCTCAGTAGCCAAGACTGCAATAAGACTGCTCAAAGATTGTTATGTTTGTTCCCTGAGTTGAAATTTTGAATTCATTACAGGAAATATTCAGATGAATGTTACATATAAAGAGAGATAACCCTAAAATAGAGATACTATTCGATTATTTTTTTTCATTCTCAGCAATGATTTTGTCTCAAAAGTTGTTTCCTTATTGTTTTTTAAATTTGCTTGAATTTGAATTTTTTTCATCCCCTGTTAGAAAATTGTCATGATAAATTTGAAAAATCCAATTGAGTCAGTGAGCAGATGCTGAATTTTGTTTATAATACCTTGTGTAGTAATCCATTTTTTTGTGTTGATGTAGGTTGGACAAGACAAAAAGGCTTTAGCTATACTTAAATTAATACACAAGAAAAATAACCCAATATCATCAACATATCGTGTAAGTATATGCATTACTCTGTGTTCTGCAGAGATTTTGTAAATTTTTGATATTTCATATTCACAATCAAAAGAATGTAAACTTTTGCAGACAAGCTAAGCCTTATTACTGTTTTTGGTTTTTCCTAGGTAACCACAGTTGTATTAGATCGAGATTACAAACCAGTGCATAACTCTAGCCATTCTACAGGCTGTACTGCAGGAATGTCAAAAAATCTCCAAAATGTAAGTTTCTTATTAAACTTGAGTCTCCTTCCTGGTACATGTATGCATTGTAGAAATGTAGGCATCAAAGCACAATGCTGTGTATTAGTTGAAAAATTTAATTTATCTGTATGGAAATTTCTTGTCTTAACTCTGATATTTACCTGCAAAAACTTCTGTGGACATTTTCACAAAAAATCTTACGACATATTTTTATCTTAAGTGAAAACTTATGATAAAAATCGTTTTCATAAAAAGTCTTAAGAAATTCGTAAGTGCAAAATCTGTCGTACTTTACGAGAGCCCCAACCCTCTCTTAAGTATTTTAAAACCGATTTTATTATAAAAATATAACCGCAAAAACCAAAATACACTGTACATGTTAAATTGAGCTTTTGAAAGCAACTTCCATTAATATTTTTTTTATTTTTTTCCCCAATCATTGTCGAAAAATTAAATGAAATACACTACAAAATATTTACGCTGCAAGTTTCACTTAAGATTTTCATATGACCTACTTTTACGTCAGACTTGTGATTGTGACATCAGATTTTAAACTTCCTAGCTTCATAAACGATTGCATTTGATATTTATCGTCAATAAAGTTTCTTATGCTGACAAATGTTGAAAACTAAGTTTTATTTTTATTTTCACTCACTTATTTAAGCATTATAAAGCATTTTGAAGTCATTGCTAGGGATGAAATCTGTCGTAAGTAAAACCTTAAGTTCAATCTGCTACGAATTCGTTCGTGAAATGCACTTAAGATTTGTCGTAAGAGATTCTTAAGTTAAAATCTTACGCAAAAACTTAAGATTTTTTGTGAAAAGGTCCATTGGTGTTTTCAAGTAAGTTTGTCCACAAAATGGCATTCTTAATAAATTACGAAAAAGCATCCACAGGCACTGTACTACCTAATGTATTTTTTTTTTTACAGCTAATGTCTACCTCAAAAGAGCTATTTAAGCCTCCACTGCTCCGATTGTCTATCATTATGATCATCATCAACTTCTCATTGAGTTTTGGGTAAGTGGTTTGCTAGTGGTGAAAGGATTTTGGGGGTCATGATAATGACGAAAAATGTTTTGAATCAGGTCTGAGTAGCTACTACATTCATGTAAAAAAAAAATTGTAGTTGATAAAGTAATGTGAAAGAGAAAGCTCAGAATATTTAACTTACTGGAAATAATTTTTTTTAATTGAGTGTTTGAAGATAACCAGTTGTCAACTGTTTGTCATTTCAGTCAAACAGTTAGTTGCCTGCCTGTTTAAACATATAAACATGTATCTTTATAAATCTTGACCAATACTTTCCCATGTATAATAAGGACTGCAGATCAAAGATCAAGAAGCAGTTTTTTAATATTTTACTGCTTGGTTTAATGCATTTTACAAACTAATCAACAACTGGAAAAAAAACACAAGCCACAGTAAAATTTAAGTTTACTAATAAAAAACAAAAAAAAGAATATCTGGGTTCTACTACATGTACCAGCGGACACAGGTTTTGTGCATATTTTTATGCTACACACAAGGAAACTTTTTTCACATCATTTATTTTCCTATTATAGTACATGTACCTGCACATTTACTAGTAATTCCTTTCTCTCTACTATGTAGATACTATGGTCTGTGGATGTGGTTTCCTGAATTGTTCAGTCGGGTGGAGAAATATGGGGGATCTCCATGTGACCATCATGTGACAGTTCCTAACAAAACCACCAACACCACAGATTTCCTCGGGTCAGAGTGGATTTATTTCTCCGGATTTATGACAGCAGTCTCCAATCTGCCTGGGAATCTTCTGACTATCTTTCTCATGGATCAGCTTGGAAGAAAGCTCCTACTAGGTAAAAGGTTTTCTGTACACTTATAAGAGTTCACAAATCCATTAGAACTTCAGTATTGCAATAACATTTATATGTCATGTACCAAGGATACAAGAGCATGAGTCAGTAGTCCAGATTTTACTATCAAAGTGAGTCTTTCATTTAATGTTGTGAACACTTGAATATCATAAGGTTATTGTTGTGAAATATGGACACTTTTGTGGGCCGGAGAATGTTGTGAAATATGGACATTAGTACTTTCTTAATTTACCTTGATTTAGCATGTTTAATTAAATGACTTTTACTGAACTATGACGTCATAATGCTATGACGTCATAGAGGTGGCTATGACATTATGTATACAACAAGAGGAGTTCAAAATAAACCACTATACAATACAGAGGTGTTTTACTTAAGCTACATTCCTAACATTGTGGTTTATTTTGAACTCCTCTTGTGCTTCTGGAATAGGATAAGGTTTTCCCATGATTTTTCTGCATGTAATGCATTTTCGCAATACAGATTTTACACTCTGGCGAATTCTTTGTATCCAGTAATTCTGTCTCAACAATGTGACTGTACTATTGACACCTGAGTGCAAATTTCTTCTATGTGCATCTAAAATAATCAATGTGGTCAGTTGATCATTTGGCGGTAGGAATATTGGATGCTTTGCTGTTTTGCTGCTTGGTGCATTTTGTATTCTCCCTCCACATCGGATCAGTTCCTCATTGTCTAGATATAATTTCAGTTGTTTTGATAGACAATTTTTAGATTTTCCATCTCTTTGTAATTCTCCAAAAATATCTGGATAGTTTTCCTGTTGAGCATTTATAATCCATATCAGTGAGCTTTGTTCAATTTCTGAGACTGTCAGTGGACCTGTAATTTTTTGTTTTTTGGAACAGTTTTGTATGAATCTTAGGACATAAGAGGTAACATTCAACAATTTTCTGTAATTGTTAAACTTTGAGATATCAATAATTTCTGAAATTTTTTGTTCTCTGGCGCCAAGCTTGACGTTTCTCTTTTCTTGTGAGTCTTCTTCCTGGTATCCACATTTCTCAGATTCTGTTATGTTTGCAAGAATATGACTTTCTGTTTTGTCATATATGGGCCACTTGTTTGTGTCAGCAATCCAAGTTGGTCCTTTTGACCACAATTCATTCTTCCTAAATCTGTCGAAGTCAGTACCGCGAGATAAAATATCAGCAGGATTTGAGGTTGTTGGACAGTATCTCCATTTGTACTGTTCAGTTAACTTCTTGATTTCTTGTATTCTGTTCCTCACAAATGTACCCAAAGTTTTTGTTGTTTCCAACCAGCTCAAGACAATTTGACTGTCTGTCCATAAGACTGCTTCTGAAAACTGGATGTTTTTCTTGATGAATTTTAATAATCTAGCTCCAAGTAATGCTCCCATTAATTCCAGTTTAGGTATTGTAAGTGTTTTTAATGGGGCAACTCTGTTTTTGGCCATAATTAGTGAACTTTGGTCTCCTGAAACAATGTATGCACATGCTCCGTAGGCCTTGATGCTTGCATCACTGAAAATGTGTACAGTCGTTTCTGGTGGGTTTTCATGAATACACATACGAGGTATTTCCAAGGAGGTAGCTTTTTCCGTGTTCTGTGCAATTTCAATCCACTTGTCAGCTAGTTCCTGTGGCAGTTTTTGATCCCAGTCTATTTTCTTTTTCCACAACTCTTGAATAAACATCTTTGCCTTGACTGTTATCGGGCTAATATATCCTAAAGGATCATATATTTTTGAAGATTGTTTCACCACTTCTCTTTTTGTTACAGTGTTTTTCTTTGTGTTGGCTATTTCTTGTTTAGCAAAGGTTAGAGTATCCTCTTTGACATTCCATTTCATTCCTAAAACTTTGACAACACTGTCCTTGTCTAACACTCCATCCTTCTTAGCATGCTCTTGTAGGATTTCACTGTTTGATCCCCATGATCGAAGGTTAAATCCAGCTTTGGCAAACAAAGTACGAGAGCAGTTGTAGAATGAAATTAATTCATTTTCTGTTGGAAAACTTGAAATTATGTTGTCAACATAAAGGTTTTCTGTTAACTTCTGTGTCCATGTAGATGCATTCTCCTTTAAATGCTTCATCAGAACAGCATTTAAAATGAATGGGGAACAAGTAGCTCCAAATAAGACAGATTTAAATCTGTAGTTCACTAACTGTCCATTAGGATTTGTGGGTTCATCAAACCAGAAGAATCTTGTAACATCTCTGTCTTCCTCTTCTAATCCTACATTTAAGAATGCTTTTTCGATGTCTGTTGTCACCGCGTATTTGTTGAGACGAAATCTTAGTAATATCGAAGCAATATCATTCAATTGTGGTGGGATGTTCATTAAACAATCATTCAGAGATGCAGTGTTAGGCGTTTCATGACAGCTACAATCATATACTATCCTTACAGGAGTTGTAACTGAATCCTTTTTTACTGGGAAATGCGGTATGAAGTGAACTTTACGATTTGTTGGAAGTTTGCTGTCTACCTTTTCTATGAAGCCGCGTCTCTCCTGTTCAGCAATTATTTCCCCATATTTGATTAGCATTTTGGGTTCCATTTTGAGGCGATTTATAACACTGACCGTTCTATGGTATGCTTTATCTTTATTTAAGGGCAATGTAGGATGGTCCTCTTTCCATGGGAGCCTTACATGGTAGCGATTGTCTTGAAATCGTATGGAATCCTTCTCATATGATAGGTGAAAATCCTGGTTACTTGATTCCTCATACTCTTTCTCAGTTCCAATTGCCTCAGTCTGCCAAAACTTCTCAATATTGTGTTCCTCCATTTTGTGTGACACCATAACATTCATCATTGATGTGTTGTATTCAACTACATGGAATTGTGATCCATATAATGGTCCGGAAAGTAAATATCCAAGTTTGGATTTGATGGCTGTTGGACCCTTTCCTCTAACTATCTCATCCTCCACCAAATTCCAGTACTGATCTGCTCCAATAAGTAATTCAATTTGGAATGCATCATCTTGGGCAACAGGATGTGCCAATCTCAAATTCCTTAAATGCGATAATTTTGCTGCAGTCTCTACATGCGTTTTAATTGGAGCTGCTATCTCCGGGACCACCAAGACTTTGACAGGTATTTCTTCTCTCTGTATAGTTTGGACCTTGATTAGAGCTGTCTGTAACTTTTGAACTCTTTTGTCTTTTCCTGAATCCCCAAATCCAAGAATGTTGATATCCTCGTATCCTGTTGGTGTTAATTCTATCTTGTCAGCCAAACTCCTAGAGATAAATGATCTTTGAGCTCCTTCATCAAACAGAATATTAGCATCAGTTGTTAGTTTTCCAAATGTGACAGGAGCAACTGCAGTTTGTAACAAAACATTTGGTTGATCTCTTTGTGAAGATGAGTGCATCACTAATGTTTCAGTTCTTTCTGTAATCTTTGATTGAAATGAAGGGATACTCTCCTTAATGGGTTTGACTTCCTCGTGATTTGAGCACAAACTTGTGTGGTGACGTTTTTTGCAAGTTTTGCAATTGAATTTAGATTGACAATCTGCAACACGATGCCTGCCTAAACAGTTAAAACATAACTTGTCTCGTTTGACGATTCTCATGCGGTCATTGAAATTTTTGTATTTTGTACAATCATTTGAACGATGCGACTCCTTGCAAAATGCACAGGATACCTGAGGTTTCCTAGGACTAGAGTTACGTTGAAGTTGCTTGTTACTGGACTTTGAGTGGGTATAAAAGGTAGCTGTTGCGCTTGGTTCTGTTGCATCAATACTTGCTCCAGCTTCTAATATTTCAAGTTCCCTGTAAAGACTATTTCTCAAGTCACCTAATAACCAATTGGTGGATCCATGCTCACGAGCCAAATTTTTGCGTAATTCACTAGGTAATTTATTAAGAATCACAGGTACAAGAAGTGAACCATATGTCTCTTGAGCTTGACCATAGGATTCCAATCCTCTGACATATGTCTCCACTTGGTCATGAAAATGACAAAGGCTTGTGAGATTATTCTTGGGAGCAGGTAGTTCTAAAAGTGCTTGCATGTAGGACTGAATTATCTTGTGTTTTTGTCCAAACCTTTCGTGTAGAAGCTCAATCGCTCTGTTGTAATTGGAATGTGTGAGTGCAAATCCTGCAATGGTGTTTGATGCCTCTCCCTCTACTAAAGACTTTAAGTAGTTAAACTTCTGTACTTCAGTCAACGTGTTGTTGCTATGAATAGCTGAATCAAATGAATCCCAGAATGACTGCCACTCCAACACATTTCCCTCAAAAATAGGCAAGTTCAGTTTTGGTAATTTGTGAAAGTTAGAACTGTTACTGGAATTGGAATTAGAATGAAAGCTTATAGCTCTGGAATTTTCACTGAAATTATGTGATGACTGACCATTCTCTCCGAATTGCGAATTCTCATTGTGGTGTGAGTAACTGGTGGCAGTTGCATTTAATACAGAGGTGTTTTACTTAAGCTACATTCCTAACATTTATAAGGTTTAAGAGTCATTTTGATAAGGTCTTAACTTTAGTTTTTAAATTTTTTTTTTTAAATCTACATGTATATCATGGAAATCAGTATATTTATTTCTGTTCACATATGGTCCTATCAAAACTGAAAGATTTTCTTCTTTCTGAAAGAAAATTTACGTATTAAGATACTGATAAAAAAAAAATTAATGCCTTTATTAAAACTAAAGTATGCCACCTGCTTTATAGCATCATTAAAGATGTAAATAACTCCATAGTATTTCAATTTCAGTTTGTGTGGTGTGTGGTAACCAGCGTTTTTTTTCTCCCTTATATAACTGGTACCGATAAACAGTACCATTCCCAATGCCAAAAAACGTTAATTTTTCTTAATTTTGAGATGACAAATTCCCAATTCAACTGCCAAGCAACAGACTACGATGACAATGTATTTCTTTTTAAATGAAACATTGTACAAGTTGACTAATTGTTTCACTTCCAGTTCAATCGAAAGTAGAGATTAGTTGTATATATGGCGGGACCTGTGGTATAGACAGTGTAGTGTCATATTTTGACAAAATGAAAGCTTAAAAATGCGAAAACAAGAGACATTGACTTGAAAAACAATAAAAACTTGTTGTTTATACTTTAAAAAAACGAAGTAATAGGTAATGAGGCTTAAACGCAAATTACTTTTCATTTGTTTAAATGACAGAAAATTCCCCTTTTTCTACTTCGATGCTATTTTTCCCAATTGAAGAGGTACTGGACCCTTTCCCAATGGGTAGAAAAAAATCACTGGGTAACTGTATATCATACAGTTTCAAAGTACAGTGTCATGAGCTCATAAACATGTTATAAATGCTAATTATCAAAACCCTGCCTCTCAAAATTTAAAAGACTTTTAAATTAATGATGTGGAGTATATTTGCAAAGTAGGCCTAAGGTCATGGTCAAATGGACTGTATTTGCTGGTATTTTTCATGTTTTATGACTAATAGTGCACATGTGAAATAGCATAGACTTGCCTCTGAAATGTCAAAAATAATATGTATATCAACACTATGAACTATTTTGAAAGTAGGTCAAAGGTCAAGTTCAAGGGTCATGAGGTCAGTATTACCATGGTGTTTTACTATGCCATAGTGCCAAGCAATATATGTGCAAAATATAAATCCATACCTTTTACAGTTTTCGAGATGCATGTATAAGGTGTGAGAGATGGACATACAGACATCCGGTAAAGTGATCCTCTGTAGGCAACACAGTGACATTAATGAACATCACACTTTTTTATTTTTTGACAGCGTGCTTTAATTCTAGTTTTGATATGTTCATGATTGATGGCTATCTGTCATAATACATAATTTTGTTTTTTACAGCTACAAGTATGGTGAGTTCTGGAGTTAGTGTATTCTTTATTCCACTAGTCAGAAATAAATGGGAGAATCTGGGAATCTCCTGCCTGTTTGGAGCTGTATCAACCATAGGCTGGAACTCCCTAGATGTACTGTCCACAGAACTGTTTCCAACCAATGTTAGGTAGGTATATTCTATACTATGCTGGTCAAAGTTTTTAATTTGGTGGAATTTTTTAGAATGGCATTTTGGGAGCATAAATTCCCCCACCAATTATTACCAATTCATGTAAATGTTGTCTTATATTATTGTGCATAAATGAATTGTATCATTCATGCATGTGGCTACTATTCTCACTGCCTTTCATTGTTATGATATCATCATCTTGTCATATTTAACAGGTCTACAGCAATGGGTATACAGACAGGTGTTGGTAGACTGGCAGCCATTTTTGGGAATGTGATCTTTGGTGAGCTAGTAGATGTCCACTGCTCTATCCCTATGATTATTGTGTCTGGGTTACTGGTATTTGGGGGGTTGTGTTCAATTCGCCTCCCCAGCACTGTAAGAGTGGATATTCACTGAAACTGTCATCTTATATGTCTGTGTGTACTATCTCTTTCGCACAATGTGACCAAAGTGATGTCATTCTTTTGCTCAAACTTTGTAATTTTGTTGAACATTTAAAATTTGATAGAATGTGTAATGTGTATTATAATTATGAAAATAGAAAAACATTAATACATTTTACTGTGAATTTATTTTCAAGTTCTTTGATTTCTTTCAATTTTAAATGGAAAATATCTGTATTCAAAGTGTGAAACAACATACATGTACATGCAATCAGAAAGTTTGCAAATATGTTTTGACATGTTACTTAATTTTGATCACAGTTTTTAATGATTTTGAAATCTGCATGCAGGTCATGTAATTTATTTTTATGTTTACCTATCTTGTCTTTAACATTCATTGTTCTTGTACTGGAAGTGCTGGAGTACTGTTAGTTTTGCAATGATGTTGTGCAATGTAAGAGACTTGAAGTGCTCTGTGGTTGTAAATGCCATAGAAATTGAATTTTGTTTGATTGCATCTGCAGTTAAACAAAAACTTTCAGTTTACAAATACTTTGAATTACTTTTTTTTAACGTGTTATCATTTTGCTAAGTCTCCACTATTAGTTTGTTAAAACTTGACAATACATGTATTGCGAGTATGCAAGTCAAGCAAAATGATGGGTCAGATGTGATGTAAATAGACTTATGTTACATACCGTATATACTCTCCTATAAGTCGGTCCGCCAATAAGTCGGTTGTATTTTTTAAGCTTAAATTAGAGGGATTGACCTGCTAAAATACCAATCTTTTTATAACTCGCATATAAGTCAGATGAAAAGTTTTGGACCAAAGTATAACTTCCAAAAAACAACTTATAGGCGAGTGTATACATTAATTATATGCTTTAGAGGGTGATGCATGTACATTGAATTCTATTAAAAACCACATCTTGAAGCACAATAGATATATAAAATAACCAAATTAATGGACAATTATTTCTTCAAGTTTTTGCATTTTCTGTAATGTATGTTTTGATAAATATCAAGTCTTGTACTTTCACTATTTTAATACAAATTATTTTTCTGTTCTTAGTTAGTATAAATTCTTGTTATTAATGGGTATATATTTATAACTGGTACATGTATTACATGTATTAGAGAGATATTTTATTAGATGGTATTTATATTAAATACTCTAAATATCCATGTTTCCTTGTATTTTTCTAACATTTTAAGCTAATCTGATTTAATGTTCTGTTAGATAGTTGATGATGCTGTACCAAATAGTTTATTAGTTTACTAATAAAATCAGTTGTTAATTTTAACCACAACCAGTAGCAATATTTTTATTCAAATCTTTGCTTTATAATGCTGTATAGGCCAAAAAGATCGGTCAGAAGTTTAATAATGGCTCTAAATATTGAATAATACACAAAAATACATGTATTTATTGCAAAACGTCAACACATTTAGGATTTGAGTCATTTGACCATATACATTTTAGACTTGTTAGACCTCCCCCCCCTCTCTCTCTCTCTCTCTCTCTCTCGTAATCATTTTTTAGAGGACATATTCATTTGACATTTTTTATGTCAAAGGTAATTCATTGATCAATATTTACATTAAATTTTGTAATCTTTCCCCCTTAAAGTGCACTTTCTGAGCATTATTTTTCTATTACTGGATTCATGCATTTCATCACCTCATATGTAAAGCAAATATTCATTGTAAAGAATACGGTCGACGCGATTTCACTGTGACGTCATAAATAGTCGATGTGTTCAACGGCTCAACTAATATCGATAAAACATTGTATGAGTTTTAGAAAAATAGAATTCTGCACAAATATATGCTATAATTTAGTCACAAATACATGAATATAATAAAAAAAAATCTTTCTCATTTCCTGCTATCATATACCTTTTGACGTAACAATATACAAAGATATGACGTCACAATGCATTCTTCTTATCAACAACAGCAAGATAATATGAAACACACGAAATCAAAGACAGTGAGAATGGATAGTGCTGATGGTAAGAAATATTTCAACATCGTTTACCACGAAAGCAAAGAAGTCGAAAGTGAAGAATTGACCGACTGTCTTGTCATTTTCAATGATAGCCGGGAATCCTTGGTAGAAAGCTTGCATTATGATGTAGAAGAAGTCAAGGAAATAATCGAAGACTTTTCAAAAGTACAAGATAGGAAAAATGAAGATCCAGGAGATCATTACCTGTCTTCAGACCTGAGTATGCTAGGTTCTGGTGCTACTTTGCGGAGAAAATCTGTTAATTTGTCAACCAGTAAGTCGGGATGTACCGTACCTCAACAGAATTCCGAACGAATCGAAATGTGCAGTCAGGTCAAAGAGGTAGCATTAGTAATTTCGGAATTGAAATCAAGAAATGCAAGCCCAGTTTATGAAGATGGTATCAAGGAGACAATTAGCAAGTTAAAAATTGGCAAAGAGGATAAAGCAAGGCAGGAGGAAAAGAGTACGGAAATAAAATCTCAAGTGTCTGAGCAACAGAGTCTTCCCCCGCTTCCCAGAAATAATAATTCTCAAAAACGCAACAGTAAGGAGGGTTATAAAGGACCAAGGTCCAGGGATACACCAATGCCAAAGATGACAAAACCCCCCAATAAAATAAGGCAGAACGCAGATTCCTTTTCGTACGAGGATTCAGATGAGTCTATCGTTTCAATATCCAGAATACACACGGATAAAGCATCTCAGAGTTCTGATATCGGCCTCTCTAGCCTTTACTTCAGTGAAAAAACTCCTGATGTATCGTCATCTTCTGGTCAAACTATGGATAATTCCACATACACTGTCGTCGAGTCCAAAGAAACGTCATCTACAGAGGATGACAACAGAATCCGGCCGCTAAAGAGAGAGAAGATTCGAAACACTAAGCCTAAAAACTCGCCAGACATTCTTGTGATTGATCATAAGCGTCAGCCTGAGATTGGTAAAAACCGTGTTCCAGTGGTGCTGAAAGCCGAGGCGATGTACCTTAACGATGAACTTCAGGTGATCGTGAAAGATGAGAGAAACAGTTGTCCTAGGAATGCAGATGTCAAGATCACTGTTGTTCACGGTGCTTCCAAGAAAAAAATAAATTCCAAATTCGCTGCATATAATGTGGTGCCTAGATTTCCCCGAACCTTTAACTGGGACCGCGATATTGTCAAGCATCGAGCTATGCGTCCACCCTTTAACACTCATGTGGATCCTGAAGCAGCGGATAGACACAGGCGCCACTACGGATTGGAATGAACATAATGTATTTGATTCTTTCGTTGTTTGACACTGAAAGTCCAAATAATGCTCTTTTATATCTCTTATGCTACTAATAAGAATTCTGGCCCTCCATTTCGTGTACAATTATAATATATCTGATAAAATTAATCTATAATTTTTGGAAAGGTTTTTTTTTCAGTAAAGCTTAAAATTGTTTAATTTTAGCAACAGTTGTGTCTATTTTGATTATAAACTATGTAATTATACCTTTATTCAGTGCATGATGTGAAAACTTTACATTTTAATATGAAGGTGAATAAAGTATATGTACTCCCCTATAACATGGATTCCCTTTTTGTTTGTAATTAAAGACGAGAGATGTACACATTGCTATTATGAAATATCGGACAACTTAATTTGAATTCATTTTCATTTGATCCACCAGAGAATCAACATTTGACAGGCACACTAATAATGCTATCTTTCGTTGAAGTTTTCAGGGCCGGACGTCATGGATATACACTCAAATCCAAAATGTACATGTATATACTGGCATCAACATTACTGTGTCACTCATTATTGAAACAGTGACTTACTTTTAATTGGATAACTTAGTTTTTCTCACATTAAATTGAACAATAGATTGTTTTTGTTTGTTAAAACAAAGATTATAGCCTAATGGTTGTGACATTACAGAAAAATTACGTAACCTGCGTAAGCGGGTTACTAGTATTAAATTTTTCTCAAATGCTTCAATTGATTGTCCTGTAATAACCAAAAAACATTTTATTGTTTGTATTTTTTTTTTATTTTAATTTTTCGCATGAGGTGGGTTAAAGTACGTAAATGTTGCTTTATCGATACATATGTTACCTCGATGACAGAGCTATCAACAGTAATTAGACCTCTTTATACATACGGCTTAATAAAAACCGCATCTAACTATAATTAAGAATTTGTCAACCGATTGATAAATACAAACAATAGGGTGAAGGAGACAAGATTCAGTATGTTAATAAAAATTTATAATTAATTAAGATCCTTCTTGTTTCTTCAATAACATGTATATACTGTTAATTGCATGATTTACTGAGTTACCGTTGAATAATTTACTCAGTTTGTGTCATATTGGTTTATTCAATGTCGTCATATTACTATTTCACTTAGATGAAGCATCTTACAGACTGGTACCATTTCATGAATCTCATAGCATGGTTCACTCCAAAATATAACAGTGGTGCATATTTTCTCCTTACTGTTAACTAGAAATTCTTTCTTGCGTTCAAGCCAGTCTGTGTATCTATATTATGCTGGATTTCTCCCCTATTTAAGTGCACAATTTCAATTTAATTTAGCGGTGAAAAATTAAAAACTTTTTTTTTTCTTTTTCTTTTTTTTTTTTTTTTTTTTTGTAATTCTGTACGAGAACTACAAGTGAAAAATGTAATTGTATTCAGAGCGACTTAAACATATACAGTTAACATATACAAGAACAGTCTTGCGAGAATGATCAGTTTTGAGATAGCAAAAGATTTGACAATTTTCATAATGGAACATTTTCATTCATAATGCGATTTGAAACCCAATCCGTGAGAATTAACATAAATTTGCTTAAAATTACTTTGAATTCAGAAACCTGACTTTAAATTATTACAAAACGATTGAAATCAGCGCTACTTTGTATCCAGTTTTTGATGTGTACCGTCAAGGTGACATAACTATTCAATCTATCCGACAGTAATGAGTATTCTGGCGGAAGAATACAATAGCAACAGTAAATACTCGGGGAATAAGCGCGGGCTCTGGTAATCAGATCATGCGCTATACCGGACCCATTCATTGTTTCCAAATAATAGATTACAGAAATTTTAAACTATTCAGTGCTAAAAGGGGCGTTTAAATGGCTTTGTCTTATTGCAAAAGCTGTTTCAATACAATAGCAGCGGTTTGTTTATTTTATTTTGGAATTATTTGAAATTCTTGTATTGTGTGTATGCAGAGGAGAACATTAAAAAATAACAATTTATCAGAAGGGATGGTATTGAACTGATATGATACACTGAGAATGTTTTAATGGAAAAACTTTTAAATTCGATTAATTAATCATTTCAAAGCCTCCATGCACTGTGTTACTTAAAATCGTTACATAGACCTCAATGAATGTGATTAAGAATTTCACTTAAACTTCGAGCGTGGAATAGGATGGACACGAGATAATTTTCAATTTGGACATTCTGGAATGATAAATGTATGGATTGAATCATGGTCTATATTCAAGTGTCTTCAGTTTGCATAGTTTGAAATTTGTAGGCGATAAAGTGAGATATTAGCAATGGCTTTCCTCTGTCCAAGTCGAGTTGGCCGAGGCACTAAAGAGAAGAAAAGGAAAGGTAATGGAATTCTCTCTCCTTCATATCACAGAACTTGGAGAAATTGTCTACATATTTCTTTACCCTCAAAATTGTGTCTACTTAAAATGTCTTTCTATAATGGTTTTATATGACATATTTGAAAGTTATTTTAAAAGCTCTACCTGTCCATTTATGTTCATTATCATACCACGATTAAATAAGGATGTACACAATGTGGTAAGCAAATAGCACTTAGTAAATATATACAAGAACGAGCTAGCAAGGTGTGACTAATGGCCTTTTTCACATTTTATTTTTCATCTCCATGTTGCGTATTGAGATACGCACACGAATTTAAAATCTAAAACTGCTACACCTCTTGTATAAAGAAAGCAAATGTACATTGGTTCTACGACTTCCTACATTTCAGTGACTTCGTCTCCCATCTTCGGTAGGATCACAGGGAGTGACAGTGTGGATACCCTTGTCAGAGTTGGTTTGGAGAAACAGCACGGACTACCTCCAAATGCCAAAATGGTGGTCCTGCAGGATTTTACACCTCAGGCTGAGAGAGAAATGGAAGTCAAACGAGGACAAGAAGTATTCCAGCTTTATAAAGACAAAGATTGGAGCTATGTCATCACAGTGGATGGAAGGGAGGGGTTTATCCCGGAATCGTATTGTTTGGGAGTGTCCAACTCACCTAGCATACAATCCAAACCTAAATCCAAAGATTTGCCGTGGAATTCTGGCGAATACAAATCTTTTGATTCCTTCGATTCGGATTCCTTCTTTTCATGTACAGATGATTATGTAAACGACGTCACAGACAATGCACAAAACTCTTCTGCTCTTAACCCAATAAATGTTGTGGATTACCAGAATGTCTCTGTTACACCGGAAGTAAGACCATTCAGAAAGACCTCACACGGACACTTCATTGTGCTTTTTGACTTCACAGCCCAGGATGAGAACGATGTATCTGTGGAACGGGCCGAACTTATCGATGTTCTCAACATAGAAGATCCAGACTGGTCCTGGATTCGTCGAGGGAACGGGGAAGAAGGATTTGTTCCGAAGTCTTATATATGTCCAGTGGAACCACTCAAAGCTCAAGGTACGATTGGTTTTCAAAATATTATAGGTGGAAATAATTGAATATGCAAACACAATACATGTATCTTTACCCTCAATCTCTTCTTTGGTTCTACTACTTGTACAATAAAAATGCTCTAATATTTCATTTCAGAAAAAATGTTGGCGCTTCAGAATAAACAGAAGCGAACAAGCACTCCGACAATACGTCAACCACTCCTTTCAAATCTCTCGCCAAGACGGTATTCTCAGTCAAGTGAACCTCCAGCTCTCCCTCAACGAAATCCTCTACGAACTGCGGTGTTGAGAAGCCGCTACAACGAACTTGACCAAGAGTCAAATTACTCGGACACACAGAAAGAACAACATAGGTCAAACTCAGCAAACAAACAGAATGTCGACAAATTCTCGGTTTTAAGGTCCCCATTGGCAACATCATCCGGGGTCAAAAGGTCTAATTCTCCTTCAAGAGTTTCTAGAAGTTCGGAAACAATTTATCAAGGGGATAATTCCACACATTCGCCACCTCTGATTGTCTACGACAAACCATTTTCCCAAAGAGTATCAAATCGTGCAGCCTCTCCACAATCAGTACCCATGTACTCAGAGCCAGCCAATCAGAACACGCGACAGCGTGCGCGGTCTGCTTCGCCAGCCTCTTCTGTTGGTTACGAGAATGAGCGTCCAAAATCAGCTTTAGGTACTAACACCAATGTAAACTTCAGTGTTAATAAAAGTTCAGTTCTTTCGTTATCTGACCAAAATCTGTATAAGAGGAATAAGCAAAGTGATGAGGGTACCAACAAATACAATTCATTCCAAAATTTGTCGTCGGGAACTTACAGTGTAGCTAAGGATGAACATTCTGGTATGGACATCAGCAACTTACAGAGTATAGGAATAACTAACCAATCCAATTCATTAGCACATTATAATAACATCAATGCAGGAATAACTAATCAATCCAGTTCCTTGACACATTATAGTAATGTAGATGACATTCAGACAGGGTCTTCACTTGATGCAAGACATACGACGAATGGGAACCTCCAAACATTCAGCAAAGGGGGCTCTGAACTGGTGATGATGTATAGTTATAATGATGAGAATAGAGGAGGACTGAATGTAAAGCGGGGAGAACTTATTTATGCCAATGGAGCGGACCAACAAGGGACAGACTGGCTGTGGGTGTTCTACCCTCAAACTAATCAGTACGGATATGTCCCCAGGAATTATGTCAAATCCACACAGCTAAAAACTACTCTATGATCATTAAATAAATGTTAAGTTTTATGGAATCTTTATAAAATTTTGAAATATTCTAATAAATGATATCACTGAGAATTTCTTTCTATTTTTTTTTTTTTTTTTTACAAAAAAGATGGCTTTGAAGGAATATTTTCTGTTGAGTAAATAAATCAGATTTCTTCATTTAGGATTCTAATGCTCCACTAATTTATCTTCATTGTGCATCTTCATATTTCTCGTAAAAAAAAAAATCAAAAAAAAGCTAAATCCTAAATCTTTTTTTATCTTTCAAACATTATGGGGACTATTTTTTCTAAAAATAATATTTTAGGAAGTTCTTAATACATCACACTAAAAAGTTCCATTCCAGAGTTGTTTAATGATCTGCTCTAATATATGAGAGAATAAAAGGAATCTAGAGTTATAAATGACACAGTCTGTAAAAGATTAAAGGCTTTGTATTCTTTAGTCTGGCTTTCCCCAGACTCTTAATGCTCTCGGACTTTGCATGATCTATCGTCTCCTGCTCGTGCAAAGCCCGAGAGCGAGAGTCTGGGGAAAGCGAGACTAAATAGGAATCAGACATGGCCCTGGCCCCGGGGCCATAAAACTTAGACGGGCTCACTCTTGATCTCAGTCTTACTTTTTCACTATTAATTTCTTTTGTGAAAGTGAGACTGGGATCAAAAGTGAGCTTGTCCAAGTTTTATGGTCCCGAAACCAGACTTGCTCGTGCAAAGTCTCGAGAGGGAGAGTCTAGCGGGAAAGCGAGACTACGTATTCTTAACATTATATAGAAAACCAAGATACATGTACATGTAATTTAATTATTACATTATTTGTATGTTTTTCTTATTGTAAGTAACCAACAGTAATTTAAATTCTGTTGACGTCTTTCCTTGGAAAAATGGCAGGATGGCAGGTACCCTATATTGAAAATGAACTAGATACACTCAGTATGAACACTTTCATATCGTATAATTTATTCAATGTACAAAAGAGCATTTTTTTCCTTTAGTGCTTAGAGCCTCCTTAAACAGGTCGAATCCATATCCCTGGAGTTTGCAATCTCAGAGATAATCTACCAAAAGTAAACTCTCGCTTTCAAAACTTTCGGGGGGGGGGGGGGAGGTTTCAAGAAAATTTTACAAATGACCTTTAGCGTAGCCATGAAGTTTAAAATTGCTTTCGTATCAAATGATCAAGACTACAGTTACCATTCTTGGGGAAAATCAAAATCTTTAAGAAATACATTGTACTTGCTGCAGTCTGATCTAGCATTTCAATCGTAACGCAAAGGCAAGAAAACAATATCCTAATAATGATGCACATAGGCGTCGGAACAGGGTGGGGGGCTTAGAACCCCCTCCCCCTCATTTTTTTTTTGCAAAGATGGACATTATAGGCATTGAAATTAGCCCCCAAACTTTTTTTTTTAATGGATCCCCTCCCCCCCCACTTTCAATTTATGATACACATACACTCCAAGTGATTAATCTTGGACTCTAGTCAATCGCATCTTCTCGGGCCTTTCGGTAAGCTCGGAAAACACCTTTGTCGGAAATGCCCGAGATGTTTCAATTGGGACTTTAATACGATATATTTTTAAAATAAATTATACATAAGATAAACCGATATTACAGTATTTTAAAATGCCTGCTGAAATCTTTTTGACTATGTCTAAAATCCCTTTCTAATACTACCATATGATTATCTGATAATAATTACGTTCAGTACTTTTCCATTAATTACCTGGTATGGCATTCTTTCTACAACAAACAAATGGGACACCAATACATGTATATCCCTATAGTGTCTCAATTAATACCAATTCCTTTTTTACATGTATTTATTTAACATCCTTTCTTATCATTTTATGATTATACTAAATTTGCCCAACTAATCCTTTCCCCATTTCCTTCAGTCTCTCCTCTCCCTTTCTGATCATGCCTTGTCTGTGCAACTCTTTTTCCCGACTTCGAGCCTTTTTTGCGTCTTTGTCGACCTGGATCCACTTAAAAGTGTTGGGAGTTGGGGGTGGTTTGTTAAGTCTTTCCGTAACCCTCTGTTGTCGTAGCACTTTCACTTTTTCTAAGACTTCATAGTCATTAATATTGTACTCTGCCAAGTCTCTCCTGATCTCGGCCAACTGTTTCTCCTTTTCTGCATAAAACTTTTCTTTTTCATTATCAAGTCTTTCATACACAGTTCGAATTTTTTCTCGGATGTTGCGACATGCCTCTTCTCTTAAGTATTGCCGCATTTTTGCTCTTCTGCTGTTCACATCGACATACAAAGGATGGGGTTTGTACTTGAGTTCTAGTTCTTTCAGTAACCAAATAAACCTCTTGTAATCCGCTTTTCTTAATTTTTTCAATTCTTTTTGTCGTCCTTGTATCTGTTCTTGCAATATCACTTTGGATAAACCATCCTGTAAAACAAGGAAATGTAACAATATCACTTCGGATAAATTATCCTGTAAAACAATGAAAAGTAACCATTTTTTGTCCAAAATAGAATAAAGAAATATTTTACAAGTTAGCAACTATTTTTTCTCCAACTCAAAATCCTTTTTCTTTTTTAATTGTCAGAAGAAATGCAGCTTGTCAAGTGTCAATTGACAAATGAGAGTTGGAGAAAACCTGATAATTAGTGGGCACACATCATGGAACCTTTTACTCCCTTTACACTTCTAAACTTTTTCAAATTATATGAATCCACAGGGGTCAGTAATACTTTGCTTGATTTTAGATATTTGATACTTTTCATTTGCAAGAACTTTATTTTGTGTAACTACACCAGTTCACTTGCTTGCAAAAATTTTATTCTCACATATAATTATTCAAGAAGGGTTAAATACAGCACTGACAGCAGGAACCCAAATTCATGTCTCGCTTATAAACAGCAAATAAATTTCTCACAAAACTAAGTCTTCACAAAAATTTCGTTATCAACAGTATTCTTAAATGAAATTCCAGTATCGTCTCCTTTTCATTTCTCTTACATTTTCATTTTCTAACACCTTTCCCTCTCTTAGTTACCTTTTTGTTTTTCTGGCAATGTCCCAGCAGATTTCTAATCTGAATTGTTTTCTTGGCAACTTGAAAAAAATAAGAAGGAAAATTGCAAATTGGATTTTTTTTTTTTTTACAGAGTACAGGACTTTGGTTCATTTGTTTTTCAACAGTTCCCTATACTGTACATACAGGTACATTAAATTGGACATTCTCTTTCTTTGGAAAAATTCAGATATTTCAGTGTAGCTTAATCATTGTTATGGTTATTCAATAACAATATTCAATAATATGAAATATTATATAGTCTATTTATAGTCCCTATATAATCTATACAAACGCAAACAGTTCATAACACTACATATTCACTGGTTTTGAAGCCGTATTCACCAGAGGCATAGTGACATCACAATCAACACCAATCAACACCTCAAACAACGTTGTAAACAATGGTTGCAACGGCCGGAGCCAGCTGTGTATCTGAGCAGGAAAAACATTAGCCAAACCTATCGCAGGATTATTTTCTAAACATTACGATGCCTTACACAGTTACAAACAGCAAAAGGAAAACACGGAAGCTATAACTTGTAATCTGAACATTTTTTTTTATTTTTCCACGACAGAAGTTCGTAAATGAAAGTGGTATCATCATGCAGCCTTCAAATCCGGACTATATAATAAAACAATTATGGACTCTTTCGGCTTCGCCTCAGTCAATATTGATATTTTTCTGGTGAATAACAAACCATATTCACCACTGAAAGAGTCCATAATTGTATAATATTTCAGCACCAGCTATTATCTTGTGCCTCTCATGGTGTCATAAATTGGAGAGTGCATACAAATTGAATATAAACACAAAACAGTTAACAGTTTCTTACACAAAATAATGGACTTATATAAAACCATTCATAATATACTGATCTAATTAAGTCATAAAATACATGTACATTCCTTTCAGACCACACTGAATATGGCCTTTAAGTGATTTCTCTGCCTAACTTATATATAGGTAAAACACTTACTTATCATCTCATTCTTCTCCCCGTATTTACAAATGTTGAGAATCTTTTCCTGCATAGTCCAGATTCTATGAGCCATTTTTTCTTGCTGCAATATGTTTTTATAGACACATGTATCAAAAGTCACACCCAACAACAAAAATGTGATTACATTAAAATAGGGATGGCAACAAATATTCGAACATTCGAATATTCATTCGATGAGTTGATATTCGAATATGAATTTAAGATTCAAATATTCTGTGTTTTTCAGATTTTATAAAAAGAAGTACTGTGATTAATAAATTTTGATTAGAACAGTGCTGGGATTATCCTTGTTTAATTTACTAGCGATCAATTTCAATCGCCTGATTTCTTTCACACTTTCTTATCTTATAGATCTACTAAATTACATATATTTTGATTTGAGTAAGGTGTTAAAGAATTGTACAATAATGCTTTATGTGTAATACAAAACGTACTTTCATAGTTTTGATACAATCAGATTTAGAATCAAGGACAACAAAATGAAATCTTAGAATGTCTGAAATGCGTGGAGTATAAATTAATTGATCATTGAATGAATGTCCAATAGAATTAGTCTGTTATTAATATTGTAAAGGGCTTAATTTCAGAATAAATGTGTAAATTACTTGATTATCTCGGGTTGTACATAATCCTGAATTTTATATTCATTATCGGGAAATTAGTTAATTAACTAGGAAAATTGTCTATGGAAATATTTGTTTACATTGTACATGTATGAAAGATTATAATCGTATCTCTTATTAGGCAGATAATTGTAATTCATTACACGTATTGAAATCTGAACAGTATACCGTTACTACTATCTTGCCTTTTGTAAGACGACTGGTTCCTCAGTTGGAGCTACTATAAATACACGTTTCATTTGTTGAAATTATACTTTTGTACATTTATATCAAATATTTATTTCAAACATTGACAAATATCAAATGGAATTTCTTATTGTACACTTACAAAAGTCTTCATACAATTTTACTTCCAATATAAGTATACCCACGCTAAACCTTTCATGAGTGTACGATGATGCATATTTAAAATAATACAGATTTTATTTATTTATCGAATATTCGAATATATTCGAATACTTTCATTGAATATTTGAATATGAATTATTGACAAAATTGACATCCCTACATTAAAATCCTGTGAATCAGTTAAGAGTCAAATCACTAATAACCAACTTGAACGCATCGTATGGGTTTAAATCTGCCTCATTTTTCCCACTGGCATCTGATCTTGTGGGTTTTAATATTAACTTACTCAAAGTATAATATGTCATAATGATGACCATCTAACATACAGTTTATTCACCATTTGTTTGTAATGTGTGACTGATACAGTGAATAATTACACCACTACCTAGCAGTGTGCTGAATGAGCCATTCTGAATATATGTTTTTCTATAATATGGCAAAATAGTTTAAAGGGATTTGAACTGGTATGAAATAAAGTTCCTGTTAAACTGTGTGATGTGGTTATGTAAATTTATAGAAGATAACTCAACATAAAGACTGATCTTACCCCATCTGCATATTCAGCTGTGGTTACTTTTTTATAATTGTCTGGAAAACTGAAAGAAAATGTTTTAAACATGTAAGTATATGATTAAATCAATATTTAGGAATGCAAATGCAAGGCATCACATGATCAATTCATTGTGATGTTTAAAAAAAAGATTGTTATGGAACAAACCATTTCTGGAATATGCATTTTTCCCATGAAGTCTGCACTGAAGTTTGAAATTTTGCTCTTTTCAACATATTTTAACAAAGAAAAATGAAAATAATTGTATGTAACTGCTTAAACTTACTCTAATATTAGGTTCATGTCCATATGGGACATAACCTGAGTTACCTCATTCCTATCTCAAACATTGATAATAAATCCTACAGATAAATAATCCTACTCTTTAAAATGGTCTTCTAATCCTCTGTAAATAAAAAGGACTTCATCGTCTTTCAAAGGAGTCTGCTCAACTACATCACCTAAAATATGGAATGTAATATATGTATGTTAAACTTTTTAAATTTCAATGCATATATACAATGAAGATAATGCCATTTTGCTTCATATATATGTTGGCAAATACATATAGAAAGACCTTTTCTAAACACACACACAGAATGGAAAATCAAGATTTTTACTGCTATCTGATCTATGAGAAAAGGAATTTCTTATATATAATTATTTGCATTAATTAAGCAATATGAGAGATCCCAAATATTTTTGTTTCGTATAGTCTGGTCCTGATTTTTAAAAAGAAATCTAGAAATAAGTTTTAAGTAAAAGCCCCAATTTTCATACATTTGTTTGATGACTTTGATCAAATCAAAAGTAGACGCAATAACAATTTTGAATATAATGCTTGTATATTGGTAATTCAGTTTTCCTTACTTTCATCGATTTGAACTATTGGATTTCTATGGAGAGATCATTCTGTTCATTTTCCGATGAATGTAATGTCAACTTTAGTGGCCAAACTACTTTTAATTTTACGTATCATTATGATGTTTGTATTTTCAAAAAGCATGCAATTCATTTTTTAGATTCATTTCTAGATGAACAAAATTATTTATATAGTCAATCCTATAATAATGTAAGTTGCACTAAGCAAGCTAAGACTGAAGTAGTCCCTTGCTAATATTAAACCCTATCATATTAATTCCTCAACAAGTAGGAAAATCTAGATATTTACTAGATGAACTCCTATCATATTATATTTAAGTAATCATATATATATATATATATATATATATATATATATATATATATATATATATATATATATATAGATAGATAGATAGATAGATAGATAGATAGATAGATAGATACAGATAAAGATATAGATATAATTACTTAAATATATAACAAAATTAACCTATGATTTCTTACTATTAACATAGGAAGACGAGTCAAGCTGGAAAGTATATAAAAAAGCTCAACAAACATGACAACAAAAATCATACCCGAATAATCATATGGTTTCCTTGTTTCAAATTTCTTTTTCTTTGTTGGCAGGTCAAACATTTCTATCATTTTCTGTGCATGTGTCTTCTGTTTTTCTTTCTTTTCCTCATAACTAGCATACCGAACGGATATTGTGTTTAGGGCAGCCTCTTCATAGGAAAAAAACATAAAGCAATTCAGTTTACAGTTAAAACAAAATTACTTAACTTATAGTTAAATATAATTAGAAACTTTGAAACTTTTGAAAGTAGTGGGTAAAACAATAGCACAAATATTTTTTTTACTTGAAACCAGAATATTTGTGAAATTAACAAAAAATAATACTTTTTTTTCAGTTAAAACGCTATATTTTAGCATATACAGTTGAACTTTGGTATCTTAAACAAGGATATCTAGAATACCATAGATACGTCGAAGTGACTGAGAAGTCCTTACCACGGATTTCTTAAGTATTTTACCCTCAATATCTTGAATCCTCAGATATCTCGAAGTTTTTTCTCGGTCCCATCAAGATAACAAGGTTTGACTGTATATGTAATCAAGCCAATCAGGGCATTATACTATCAGGGCATTATACCCTCCCAAAAATACCTTGCTTTTATATTCTAGACAAACTCCCAAAATGGGATGAATGCTGAAAACAAAGTCTTTGGCTCTATCATGCATTAAATGCAGCAAATAGTATATCCTATGTAAACAAACAATGGATTGTCGTTCGCTTTCTCCAAATATACAGTCTGATTAAAATCAAACCTTCAAACAACAATCAAAATAAAAGGAGCATCTTTTTCAGTCTCAATTTTTTACTATTGGTAACCCCGTTTCAGGAGTTCATATTGAAATACGCCGCCGACACTTCCCAGGGAAAAATACACCTTCCATACCGCCCGCCATATTATTTATAAAATTAATTTGTATATTGTCAGATGTATTACTGTAACTTTTATGGACCATGAAGTGGAAACTGTAAAACGAATAAAAACTCAAATTTTTCAATTTAATTTTTTGGGGGGTTGGTAAAACATCAACTATATGGTCTATAGAAATGATATATATAATAAATATAAATTTATTCACTCAACATGCTCAATAATATGGCAGGCATATAGATTTTCTTGGCTGGCATATTTTCCCCCAACAGGTGTATTTTAGCATGACTGATCTAGGGACTGAGACTGTTTAATGGAAATTGCAGACAGATAATAGATTTAACTCTCTTTATACAGGGTGATCCAAAATATCTGATACCATTTCAAACGATAATAATTCTTTCAAATATTATAAAACTCTTTATCAAAATATTTCAAATTTTAACATATGTTATAACATTTTATACAGTACATGCCACAAATTTCATATGTATTCTTTAAAATAATAATCCAGTCTCAAAATAATACTGTTATTTAGAGCGCATGCTCTACATGACGTCCATTTTGTTCAATCACAAGTTCAAGTCCTTTCTTAAAGTTAAACTTAAAGCATCTTCTACTGAACCAGTCCATTGAAATCTCTTCAGTAACCTGTGAACCTGCAGTTTTGTAAGCTTATTGTCCGATGGATGTCTTTTTCTCATGATACGAATCACTGTTATGGGTGAATGTGTCTCAAATTATAATTGGACAACTTCTGCAGCTCTCTGATTTGATCCATGTTAAATAAACAATAGCAGATTTATGACATCATAGCATCATGAGGACGTCAATGTTTTCCTGTATTTACTTATTTATTAAAATGATAGGTATAGCAGTTTAAAATGATGTATAAATGAAATATGTAGAATGATATTTGACAAAGTTATTGAAAGTCAAAATAGTATCAAATATTTTGGATCACCCTGTAGTTAAAAGCATGCCACTTTTAGGCTTTGTTATAGAAATGCAATTATTAACAGTCAGGGGTGAGACTGAAATCCGTCATTTCTGAAATATGATGGATAATTGTCATATTTACTAACTACGTATTTTCATCGTTTTTGTCAATATGACTTACTATCGTCATATTTTCTTTTTCAACTTAATTCTTCTATCCAGGTTACATAAAAACGAAATTTGAATTCACCACTGAAAGAAGAGTGTTGACTCAAGTTTCATTTCATCCAGGTCACTAATTACTGCCGACCACATGTGTTAGAACATCAACATGGAAGTTGGAAGTTATTATTTAGCGGTAAAATGTCGAATTTTGGTAGAACTAATTCGTCATTTTTACATGGCTTTTAGCCCTATGAAAGCATACAGTACATCATCTGGAAGAATACGTACTTGTAGAGAAAAGTCTCGAAAAAAAGTTAAAGCCGAAAAAAAGTTAAAGCCATAAAAAAGCGGTGCGCCCTGTAAAACAAGCAAGATATTTCAGTGCACCCAGACCCTCCATTTTGAAAAAAGACGGAATATCGTCATTTTCGTCTTCTCTCCTATTTAATGCAAATAAATTGACAAATAACTCTTCCACTCTTATTTTTGCTTGGGAAATTTGTACTGTCAACATAACCAGTATTGTAGTCAACTGTATTAGAGAAATGAAGTTTGTTTACGATGTTTTTTGTCCTTTTTTTGGTTGGTGGATCTAACATTTTTGAAAGAGAGGTAACTTGGTATTCTAGAAACACTCTAAATTTTTATGACTTTTTCGTCATTTTCTTAAAAATGACGAGTTTAAGTCATAATAAAAATTTTATTTTATGACTAAAAATCGTCATTTTAAAAATGACGGATTTTAGTCTCACCCCTGACTGCTTAACATTTGATATCTTGTGAAATTACTAGAGATGCACAATTTTATCGGTATACAGGTATAACGTGATATTTTATTGCCTGATACGTATTGTGATACGGAGACTAAAATATCGGTATTTAGTACATAATCATAGATTCTGGAAATCATGGAAATTATTCATTTATTTGTTTAAACTATTAAATCACAATTATAGAAAGTGTAAAAAATGTTCAAAATGGTTAAACAATGGCATCGAAACATGCATTATATTATATAAATAAAAATTTATAAAGTGAAGTTATTTTTTATAGCATATTTAAGAAATATTATGGAAATTCATTTGAAATTGTCGTAAAAATTGAGTGTAAAAATATCACAATACTATTGTAATATTCTGGGAAAAAATTGAGATATATCACAATACGAAATTTTTGGCAATACCAATCCCTAGAAATTACAGTCTAGAACCTTTCAAATGTTTTGTGCAGGTTTGGAGAGGTGGATCTAAGTTAAAAGTGAATAAGTATACATGCAACAGTGCTCACTCCAATGGTCTCAATGTCCACATTACATATTATGTTGTTCATTTTTAATCAATTAACTTTAGATTTAAGTACAGATTACTCAAACTGCATAAATATACGACAGAATTAGAACTCTTTTGTGTGCAGTATATAGAGGGTCTTAAAAATTGTGTGACTCGAATTATCTCTGTTACGTATTGATTAAATGTGCAAAATCACTCAGTCAGAAAATGAACAGTGCCTTTGTTTTTATCAAATTTTTAGGTGTTTAAACTTTTAATTTTTACACCTATTTTTCCACATTTTTCTTAAAGGTTTTCAATAAGTAGCCATACGTGCATACGCTATAACTGACCATGGTTTAGCAGCTTGACCTGTCGACTTGTGTTGATATACGCTATGTTAGCGACGCATAGACAGTTTGAATTTGTTGATGTAAATTTCCTAGATGAAAAAAAGAGAATTCTTCCATAAATACACTGTTCCTGTGCTGCAGTCAGGCAGGCCTTAGAGAAAGCATACATCTTGTAGCAATTTTTTTCAAGATCACAACATGACCGGAAGTTTTGATATTCCTCTTTGCGTTTGCGCCTTGTGATCGGAAACGGAAGTTCAGCTTTGCATCCATGACTACGACCAAGTAAACCGTCTGATCCGGGGCATTCATTGTCTTGTTGCCTGACTACCAGGGTTGTTGTAGCCTCCATGATTATTTTCTGTTTGAGATAGTACGTGATTCACAGATTTCCCATTCACACAGTGATAACAAGATGTCGAAGACACTTTTTGAGACTCGAGTGAACGAGAAAAAGATCTTTGGAGCAAAAAAGAAGACAGATGATGCATTCACAACAAAATCCTACATGAAAAACAAAGTTGATGTAAGTTTTGACTTTTTATGATACGAAGTCTGTGTTGTTGACATGCTGCAATGTTGAATTTTATGATTTTAAATCGGCATAGAAATACAACATTTATTTTTGTGCATCCCAAACTATATACATTCATTTAGCAAAAGTAATCTAAAATTTTATTTTCTTCTTTCGTTAATAATTTTTTTTTTTTCAAAAATTAACTGCGATGCCCTACTGATACACTTTTACTCCCATCAATAAAGAGTGTGTTTGTCTATTACAGAAAATAGGTGCACCCCCAGCAGCAGGAGCATTTGTAAAGAAAGATGCCCAACCCACAGCATTCAGAAAATTCTATGAGCGTGGTGATTTTCCAATTGCTCTGGAACATGACACAAAAGGAAACAAAATTGCATGGAAGGTCTGAATCAATTATAGTACTCATCAAGAAAGAATGTTCTCTTATTAAAATGTTGTCCTCCATTTTCTAGACTTTTGTGAGATTCCTATCTCGAGAAACCATTGATTTTCTAGCTGATATATTTTGTAGATTGGCAATATATGAATTTATCTAAATTATCCTATAACATCTGAAATTCAATGTTTTGTAACTTTCACATTGAAAGCGAGAAAGCACTTCTCCTCACCTGGGTCTCCAGTGTTAATTATTTTTCTTAAATGTTTAGTTTACTCTGACATTTTTGTCTTCATGTATGTTTAAAAAATCATGCTTGTCATATTTATATTATGCCCCAGAAGGGGACCATGACTGGGGAATAAATACATTTCTATTTATATGTTAACTCTATTGATTTGATTCGAAATCAATTTATAGGTTTATTTTTCATTCTTTGATCCTTTTTGTCAAATGGTAAAGTATGTAATATTTCATTTTTGCTTCTTTTTTTTTTAAATTTAAGGTTGAAATTGAAAAACTAGATTATCATCACTATCTTCCTCTGTTTTTCGATGGTCTGTGTGAAACGGAGCACCCCTATGAGTTCTTTGCCAGACAGGGTGTTCACGACATGCTTGAGCATGGTGGTTCCAAAATCTTACCTGTTATACCTCAGTTAATCATTCCAATTAAAAGTAAGTTATGTCTCTTTTTATTGAAAAGTTAAATTATCCCAGCATGGTGTATTCTTAGTTATCACACAATTACATATACATGTAATATTTTCTTTAATCATTTTCAAATTTTTACAGATGCATTAAACATGAGGCACCCACAGGTTATGTGCACAACACTAAAAGTTTTACAACATCTGGTTGTGTCAGCAGACATGGTTGGGGAAGCTCTTGTGCCTTATTACAGACAAATCCTGCCAATCCTAAACATTTTCAAGAATAGAAATTGTGAGTATCCATTGATAAGAATTCAAAATATGGACAATTGATAGTCATCACAATTTCTGTTACATGTTTGAATAAAATGATATATACACAGCATCACCATGATTCTTTTTTGTGTTTTTAGTGAATTCAGGAGATGGAATTGACTACAGCCAACAGAAAAGGGAAAACATTGGAGATCTTATACAGGAGACATTAGAAGCATTCGAACGCCATGGGGGAGAGGATGCATTTATTAACATCAAATACATGATTCCAACCTATGAGTCATGTATGCTAAATTAACTTGTAATTGTAAACTGTTTTGTGAATGTGAATCATGATTTTATCTGGATAAAATTAATAGAACTGGAGTAAAATTTCTTGGAGGATAAAGATTGGGAGGGTAGGGGTAAAGGAACTTTTTATTGCCCAGAGCAGCAGTCAACCAGTTAGGCAGTGAAAGTGCAGTACCACAATTATGGAACTATTTTTTCCACATTTTATTTTTTTAAGAACTGAAATGCTTGTACTTGTCATCACATTCTGGCACAGAATTGATTTCGGGTTTGAATTCATGACCACCTATGTTTGATAACTGGTTTTTGAAGAAAAAAAAGCAAAAGATCTCTAATTTTTGTAAACTATGAATTTTTGTGATACAATTTAAACCAAATGTAATGTCAAGTCACTGTCATAACTTTTATTGTCAACTGTAGTCAGTGCAAAAAGACTGGGATTTAAATAGATTTTCCCACAAATACTTTGTAAATAGTATGTCATTTGTCTGTCTGAGAATCAGATATGTGAAGATGAACACAGAACTGTGATAAACCCAGAACATTTGTTTATTCACTCAGTGAGACTGGTTTTATAATTCTCATCATTCATACAAGGGATATTCTCAGATTTCATTTTTTAACTTAAATGTGTCCACAGTATAAAATTCTGTATATACTTACCAATATTGTGATAAATGCATCAATAAATCTATTTATTCATCAACCATGTTTTCATGAAAAAAAAAAAATAGAGAATATTATACACATTAAAATCCATATCATAATTAAGTCATACCAGCCTCAGTGGCCCCATATCAGTCCGAGGGTCAAAGGTTTTAGGACTGATATGGGGCCCCATGGCCAGGATTGATATTACATATGATATGGATAAAATTTTTAGGATATTGTATTCTATTTATCATATACATATGTACATATATATTTAAGATGTATATTATATATGTGAGTTCACATAAAGTAAGAATGTTTCGTGTATGAAAAAGGTGAAGATGAAGAATAGTGATCGATCCCATAAAATCTACAAACAATAAAAATCTGTGAACAGGGTATGAAACACGACCCGGAAATTCCAGAGATGGGATCAGGTGTCTAGGAAGAGTAAGCATCCCCTCCTGACTGGCCACAACCACTTCTTTTAAAATCTTATGGAGCCAATTTTAGATCTTTCTAAAAATAAATAAGTCAACAAATTTTAGTACAAGAATTATATTCTATGTATATTTCAGAGTAGTTAATTTTCAAACTTTATACAAACAATACCTATGGTTTGATATGGATTTTTGCACGCCGGTTTGATACGTGATATGGGTTTTTGGACCGTGGTCGTTGATCTCTGACACCTGACAAATTTTATGTATGGGGGGAGGACTACCTAACTTTTTTGAACTTGTGTCCAATCCCTTAATTTGACTTATTAATTGTCATGCAATAAAATATGTTCAAAACAAAAACCTAATGAATGAATGGTGTAACCCCCATCCCCCTTCTGAGAACTATTACACACGAAAACTTATCAAAAATACACGAATTCCTAACCTATCATTCCTTTTTCGATATCTGATATCATTTTCCGCTTTTGCTAAGTTGACGCATAAGAGATTGGCCGCCTACGGTATATGAAAATATAGCCAGTATCTTTATATACAGTAGTCGGCTGTTTGACAACGAAAAAAAAAATTGCACAAAGTCCAAAAAAAAACCTATTTCGTAGTGGTTTGGGAGGGGAGATTGTCATGAGCCTATAAATGAATATTTCCAGAACACACGTAGACTGTTCTCGATGCTATGTGTCTGAAACCCATGCAAAGCTTAGATGAGATCTACTGACAGAGAGACAGGCATAGCCATGCCAAATCAATGTCTTAGAGCTCTTACCGAATGTACAGCTATGGATCTAGCTGTCGCCATAATGTTTCGAACATATTACAGTACACACATAAAATAGTCAAAGTGTTGTGACTGCTGGATCCACAGACGTCATCAGCGCGGTACATCCGTCGTCCGACTAACCTTCAATTGATGCGCGCATTAACTGAATAAATGAGAGTAATAATTGATAAGATGCGCGCATAAATTCGATTATTGCTCTCATCAATTCAATTGTTGAGCCCAAAATTAAGAAATCGGTTTATATGATTTTTTGATCTCTTTAATTCAACTGAGGATATCTTTCATAATTTTACAAAGACTTTGGTGAAGGAATCAATGTCCGCATAAATTCTTTTAAAGAATTTTAAAAAAAATGTTGAAGGTATTAATAAGTTGATGCTCTCTTTCTCTCTCTCTCTCTCTCTCCCTCTCTAAAGAATTGTGTGCATTAATTCAATTAATGCTTTCATAAATTCAGTTGAAGAGAGCAACAATACAATTATTGTGTGCATTATTTGAATTGATGCATGCATCATGCGAGCATCTAAATTATTGCTCTGATCAATTCAATTTATACGCTCATCAAATCAATTTTTGAACTCAATAATTCAAATGATGTGTGCATCAATTCAGCAAATTTCAGTTCAGTTCAGTACATTAAAGTCAATTAAAGGCATATATTTCAATTTAAATAATAATATCAACAATTGATGTAATGCTCGCAATAATTCAGAATTGAAGATTTCATTCATTATTTGAAGAGATCTTCTATTGAATGCGTACATTAAAATGAAATGTTGATACCTTCAAATACTTTAAGATATCTTCAGTTATTTTGAGTTTATTTCATTTGGTGCTCCATAGAGTCTAGGACGGAGTTTTGTCTCTGAGGTTTAGTTACTGCTGATGTTTCACCTTCTTTTACAAAGTTAATGAATTATTTGTCTTTTTTCTTTCCCTTTTCTTCATCTTTTCTTTTCTAGGATGTCTGCCAGCTCTCTCAGTGCTTAGTCATGTCTCCACCTGGACCTGCCTTGTGTTAGAGCAACATTGTAGGATGACGGAATGTGTTCTAATGTTTCCCGCAAAGCTCACAATTCAGGTTTTCTAAAAAGATCAATATATTCAAAAGCGGAATAGTGAAGTTCAAGAATCTTCAAAAAGTTTAAATTATAGAATTTTTAAAGCCAATTTTGAGTGCGAAAAATATTTAACACTGTTATCATGTACGATAAATTCAGAAAAACTTTAGTAAAATTTAGAACCACAAACCACCACCTTCCAATTGAAACAGGTACATGTATAGATGGAATGGTACCCAAAGAAGTGAAAGATTCTGTAGCTTATGTGATAGTAATCAGATAGGAGATGAATATCATTATATTTTAGAATGTAGTGCTTTAAACCAACCGAGGGAAATTTTTTTGAACCAAAAACTTTGTTCCAAGCAAAACACTATGAAGTTTTGTGAAGTTATGTGCCAAAATGATGTTGATTCTTCGAAAAAAAATTATGTACATTTATTAATAAGATTAATAGTATGCATGGTCTGTTCTCCCTAGCTAGCTTAATTAATCTCACCTTTTGCTTAACCCACTGTATTATATGTATATATGTTTTATATGTTTATGTACCTCATGTAACCATTACATGGTTTTTGAGTGAATAAATTGAATTGAATTGAACTATAAACTAGGCCCGACTTATACTGACTTGTTGGTGATAATAGCAGATCTTAGAAGCAACTGGAGCTAATTTGAAGCGTGACCCTCTTTGTAATATTACCATTCTTCATAATTGAACTTCTTGATATCTGAGGTTTGAACTTCATTCTTTCCCAGCTTACTGTGTCACCAAGAGCTCAAGTATCCAGCGTACCTGGACATGTGTTCTTCTTAATGATATATCCCGTTCACAAATCCTACATTTTATATGAATATGCTTTCTGTTGACATTTCTGTTTAGGGCCTTTTATTTCAAGTTAAGGAACAGTGACTACCTATGATAACGCAGGCACATAGTATCGGGGGGTGGGGGGGTGCCCCCCTTTTTTCCAGACATAAGTTTTTCTATAGGAAATATTCAGTGAAAGTCCGGTTGGCCCCCCACTTTTGGTTGCAGTATTGTCAAATAAGGGTAATATAAGGGGAATGCAGTGTTTAGCACTTCCTATTCCTCTTTCCAATTTCTGCCACTCTAGTTGTTGTAAATTGCCCTACAGTATGACTTATGTTTTACAAAATATAATCAAATTTGAATTAAATAATCCTCCTGAGATGTTCTTTGTTCTTCAGTTTAGGTTCACATTTTATACATCTGAATTACTGAAATTGAATTATCATCATCGGCCATTACACTCTGTGGTGTCTAGGGTAGCAACAAATGAAAGTCTTTCACCTTTTGTCTTGGGCCAGTCTGGTGAGTGATCCACGAGTGCTACATGGTTCTTATCTCATTTTCCAATGTCCTTCAGTTCTCCGTCTTTTTCTTGGTCTTCCTCTCTTTCTCTTTCCATCTGGTGTCCAGTGGAATGCCGTTTTTGTGATTGATTGAGGCACTGTCCGAAGCACATGCTTTATCCATCTCCATCTTCTTTTGGTAATGCTAGCTTGTACCTGCCTGCATCTCCTATAAGCAGTTCTTCAATAGAGATATCTTTTCTTGCCAGAATATTAGGATGATTTTACGTAGGTATCATACAATTATTGTAGACATCAACTAGAATTTTGAACATAGAGTATATCTAGCAGGCTCGTAATACGTGTGTGTGTGTGTGAGGGGGGGGGGGGGGGTTATAGCTTTTATTTATCTAGTTTTACTGCAAACCCCACCCTTCCCCACGTTTTGCTGCTGTGCGGTTGAACATTGGCAAATTCCAGCATTTAAAAGAAATGAACCGACAAGTAATAAAAATGTCCACATCCTCCCCAACCCCCGACCGCGACCGAACCCCGAAATAAGATTTTTTCGATTTTTTTTTTTTTTTGGGGGGGGGGGGGGCAAATACTGTATATGTATTTTAGTTGACGTGTGTTGATTTTTCATCAAGTGTATATAGATTTGAGTCGTGGATTTTATGAAATACACAAAACATTTAGAGTTCAGCGTTAGACATTTTGGCGAATTGACAGCTAGGACGTTTCAGCTGAAAAGTATGAATATTTTAGCAGAAAATTTGTTGACATTTTCGAGAAGATTTGTATATATGACATTTTAGCGGAACTCAAAATAGGATGCGGACATTATAGTGGAAATTTTAGTAAAATACATACATGTATATTTCTCTTCCTTTATTCAGTCGCCTGCTCACCAGCAAGGAGATAGGAGTAGAATATTTGAAAGAGAATGGTCTGGGAAGAACACCTTGTTTGAATACGAGCTTTGTCGTTTCTCAAAGAAAATCTCGAAGAAAAAAGGGTCTGGTTTAAGTATTCCATCAATTCTACCGTGTTCTTGAGCACTTCTCCGTAAGAATATAGTTGAGATTTGTTTTTATCTGTGCCATTGAAGCCTTCGTTAGATTTGGTAACTTACATGTAGTAATTAGCTGATCAATATTTGGGTGCTGACTTTATATTAATTCTTTACAAAGATTCAAATTTCTTGTAAAACAAAAATCGCTAAAAGGTCCATTGAATTCTTCCAAGTAACCGATTTTTCTTCCGCTAAAATGTCCTATAAATCTCCCGCTAAAATGTCCATTCACACCTTTTGCAATTCCGCTAAAATGACATTTGCCCTTAGCGACGTACTTAAAATCGCTCAACTTTGATCGATTTAGGGGAAGCTGCTTTCCGCAGAATGCGCTAAATAGAATAACAGCCAAATGTCATACGTTTACGTATTTTTGGAGCCCCCCCCCCCCTCCACTTTGAAAAACATTGCTAGGGACCTGTCTATAGCGATCGAAATTCTCATTTGTTCGTTTATATTATGATCCTTAGCTGTAACTACATGAGGCACATATTCTAGATGAAAATTCGAAAAAGTGGTCAAAACAGTTAGATTAAAATGATTCATAAGAATATTTTTTTCCTCTGCCTTTCTGGCGATCAATTATACATGTATTTAAACATCTCATATAATTATCATGATACGTATATACTAGAAATGTGTTACTCAATTTTTTATGGTTAATTAGGTCTTTCCACCTTTCTGTGGAAAGACCTGTTGCAATTGTTCTGTTTATTATTATTATTTTTCTGCCGAGTGTGTTTTTGAGTTTCAAGATTTATCGAAAAGATTTATACTTCAAGACATTGTACTTCATAAAAGATTTTTGAAGTTGACCCTGCGTATATGAACTTCGACCCCTCAGAGAGTTATGACTCCTTTTGCAATAAAAGCTTGTTATCGTTACTCCTCCGAAACCGTAAACCGTGGAGATACCAAATCATCACTAATGTCTTCGACTAATTTAGTAGACACTCTGACCTTTTGAGTGCGAAAGGATTCATCAACCCCTTTAAGTAGCTAGATACAGCCCCTCAAAGCTTTTGAAGTTTACGAATAATGATACATTTTCTAAACGAAAAGTTGTAGAGACATAAAACTAACAGCATTAGATTCTTTAACCTTAGACCTTTAAGTTTATGTCAAGGTCAAAGGTCAAGGTCATTCCAAATATGAGAAATTAAAATCTTTTTATTGCTCGTTTGTCTTTCAAAATATACTACATATCTTTCCATCATTAATATGTCCTCTGAAAACTATTTCATAGATTTCAATCTTGTCCCCTAAGATTGACCCTTTCAAAAGGTGTTGTTCCTTTCACTAGAAACCTTGTTATCGCTACTCCTTCGAAACCACAAACCGTAGAGACACTAAACGTTCACTAATGTCTTTAGGGTCTTTAGACACAACTTCAATCTATTCAGTGCGAAAGGATCTGGGGCCCGTTTTACAAAAGAACTTACGACTAAGACCAAAGTTTAATTCTGCTTTTAACTTTTTTATTTAAATTATATTGAAAATAGTTTTAATCTTTTTAAAAGGAATGTAGTAAAATATTTTTACGCTAGCAATTTTAAAAAGAATCATTAATAAGTCATTGCTCTTTAACGTCGTTGCACCTACTATTAAACCTTATTACTTTAAAACTAAAAGTCGTAGCATGAGGTCAAGTGTATTGTGACCCTTGACCTTTGACCTTGAATATTTGTTCAAGGTCAAGGTCATTTCGATTTTTTTTTTAAATTTTCATTTTTCCCATATTTCAAACTATTTCTAGTTTCTTTTGTATAAAATTAAACAGTAGAGAGTTAAATATGAAAAAAAAATATATGAAAGGTGGAAAGAACAATTAGTCTACTAGTTATTATTTGGATTTGTTTATTTGAATTGTTGAATTAGGAACTGCGAGGTCAGATTCCATTTTATAGCATCTGATGGCACTATCAAGTTGCAAAATGTATGATAGTTTGTAGGGGGATACACCATCCACACTGTAGTTTGTCTGTCTGTCCCCTTTCAGAGTATTTTTAGTATATTAGATTACTCGGATATATTGAGTTATATTCTTTGTGCATGCCTGATGTCCGATCATCTTTACATAATTTAATTTAAAAAAAAATGGTTAGATAAAGTTATATATCGAATCCCCCTCTCCCCATTCTTCTTTCTTCTATAAAAACACATGAAAAAATACGGGAGAAAAAGGTATATCTACGATACTGTTAGTGTAAGTGTATTGTAGATCCTATACAAGATAACATATTTCTATTATAAATTCAAGAATTGCATTGTGTCATCTTGTCTAAAATTCTGGATCCGCCACCTCTGTCTCCCACGCAAGCCGGAATTCCGTCGTGACAAGGTTTTAAATTTAGTCTGGGTCATGTGATTAATTCTCACATGACAAAAAGAAAAACAACTGAGAAGAGAGTGTGATACAGTGAGTGCTACAGATAACAGGTGAGAACAGTTCAGGTAGATATAACGATCGTCTGCAGACAGATAATTTATCATAAGTAAAGAAAGAAATATCATAAACAAATATATTGATATACAAACAGCTTTCTGTTATGAAAATATTTTTGAATGATCTTAGGTTTTGTAACATAAATTCCTTTGTATGACGTATTTTAAGTCATATGACTCGAGTCTTTTTAGAGATGTGCATTTGAATTGCTTTTCAAGTATACTATATTCTTTGTATGAATAATCAAACTTGTTGGGGGGAACAAAAAATGTATTAAAGTTCTATATTTTCAGCATGGGCTCGGGATGTTGATGTAAATTATAGAATGCATCTATACTTTTATGTACATATATACGTACTACAGTTTACATAAGCTTCCTTTATCTGTGTGTATAAAAAAATTTCTGTTTGTTATTTGGACATATAAGTCTGCAAAGCTGTGCCCATTGGTGGACTTGCTAGAAAGGTTGTTCTGAAAAATAAGAACTTAGTTACTCCTTCAAATTAGAGCTTCAGTTTATGTCACTACACTCCTCATATACATGTACATAGGTTTGCAATACCAAGACAAAAGTTTTCACTGTGAACTGTACCACTACATTAGCATGCTGGAGTAAAAAAAAAATGTTGCTTGAGTACCTCTGAGTCTCTTTTAAGTTGGAATTTCAATCTTGCTTAACAATTACGTTAAAAAACTGTAGAATTATCATTACTAACAAAAGTGTAAGTATTCAAAAATATGAAAAAATAAAACAAACATGAAAATACAAGACTTTTTTTTTCAATATTAATCACGATTAATGTAAATGGGTAAAATTATTATCTTGAAGGGAGGGCATATTGCTTTGCTGCTGTCTGTCGGTCGGTCCACCAACAGTTTCCGTTCATTTTCTTCACAGAGGTTGCACATACTGAAATGAAATTTGGTATACAGATTTATCATAAGAATATCTAGGTCAAGTTCTGTTTTGGGTACGATTGAGCAATTTTTGACAGAGTTATGGCCCTTGGACTTTAAAAAAATTCAAATAATTGGGGGGGGGGGGGGCAGGGCTCGAAATAATTGATGGCCCACTGGTCTGGGGCCATTTAATTTTTAATCTGGGCTAGTACGTTGTAAAGGGCACATGCCCTTTGGGTCATTGTTTTTTTTTTTTATGCATAACAAAATTCATTTATGGTCGGGCTAGTTAACTTGACAGGGTTGTGTGTCCAAGTTCTGTCATTTCTTGTTTTGTTAAGTTGTACTATTAAGTATCATAACATAAACAAAATATTACTATTATTATTTTGGTTTCGGGCCATTCCTTTAAGAATCTACTGGCCCAGTGGGATAGTGAAAGTACAGAGTTGACCAGTAAAAATTTAAGGTGATAGCCCGAGTGACCAGCGAAAAAAAATTATTATTTCTAGCCCTTGGGGAGGCTTAAGTGTTTCACAAGCATCTCTTGTTTGTTCTAGATTTATATATACTAGGCATAATGAAGAACATCGGAAATCTTTACTTAAGAATAAAACAAAGTTCCATCACAATGTTTATTAAAAGTGTAATGTAAAATCACATTTAAAACTACAGTTTACACTGCTGACTATCTGTTTTTGCCTTACTTAATAATAGTTGAGTATTGCTTATCAATGTAGTTCATCGCATGATTACAAATTCAATGGTTCAACACAATTTCACTGTGACATCATAAATGATAGACTAACCTGCATCGCTTAATGTTTAAAGATAAAAAAAAAAACAAAAACAAAAACAAAACTTCAGGGGTTTAAGATTATAACTGTGCAGTTATTTGATAAAAATGAAATACAGATGTAAGTATATATAAGTACATGTAACAAGCTGACCATATCCTTTTAAAACATATTTTGAAATGCAGATAGGGGACACGGGTTCATGCAAATGCGTGATCAAATCTTTTAAAATAAAGCAAGGCTGAATGGAATTTGATCATGTTATGATGTAACCAACTTTTATCGTTACCCTTTGATATGTTTGAAAATGATTCCTTATGTCTTAAAAGAAATTTCTGAGAAGTGTTGATAACAAGATATGCACTAATTGAATAATTTCTTCTTGCAAATGTACTTGCATGAATAAAGTTGTTTGATGGAAATAGTACAATGAGTCAATGATGTGCATTGAAGGGTAAAATTTTCCATTTGAATGGAAGGTTTGGAGCTTACATGATGACATGCCTATTTCTTCAGAAAGGAAAAAGTCTTCACATGCTTCATTCGTATACCGATAGAACAGGTATACAATAAATACAATAGCCAATCAGATTGGCAGTTTATGTAAACACTGAGTAAATGGAACTTGAACTTTATCAGTCTTCGCCAAATCTTTTTTTCAGTACATGCCCTTCGGGCAGGATGAACCACTTATTATGCTAGCCCGAACAAATATTTACATGCCCAGAATTTTATCAAATAATTTTATTTGCCTTTTCATGCCAAGGAAATGATTCGAAATCCATATCTATTGTCTCGCCATTAATATTGGTTTCATACTGTACACTTTTTGTGTCTCCTTTGCAAAAGAGTTCCTTGGAAGTCACGTATTGTTTTCAACGTGTATACTTTTTGTGTCTCCTTTGCAAAAGAATTCCTTAGAAATCGCGGTAGAATAAACTATCTTAAAATTTTATTTGGTGCTCCACTTTAGATGAAAAATCAGACTTTTAGGTACATTTAATGTTATTGGTATTATTTAATTTGATAATACGGAGGCTTAGGCCTCAGAATTTACATGCCCTTTGGGCTTGTAAGTATGCAATTGCCACATGCCCGCTTCCAATTTTACCAGGTCCTGGGCTTCAGACTCCCGGGATTTGTCGAAGACTGCTTTATTCTCATAACTGACAAAACAGTGAAGAGAAGATATGTACAGTATAATAAACAGAAAATATTACATGCCTGAAGAAGGGGTAACAGAGTATATCAACCAAGAGAGCCAACTCTCTTAATTATAATATCTAACAATTTACAAATTTTGCTAAATTGATCAGTATTGGTTACATTAAAAAGCATCTCAAATTTCAAAACATTTGGATTCAAATGAAAATATTTTGACAAATACGTAACTCTTGAGTTCTTTATAGACACATCAGTACATTTAAAGAAGTAATGAAATTCATCCCTAATTTCGTTGCTGTTACATAATTTACAAATTGGATTGATACACATGTTGTGACAACTTCAGTAAGCATAAGTTCCTAATTTATATGTACATGTTCATTGCAACATGTGAGTTTTACAGAACTGGGGAGTCTCTATCTCTTTCCTAATTTCATAAAATCCACACTTCGGCAAAATTTGTGTTGCTAGTCGCAGAGAAAAGGGTATCTTAAAACATTGTGACGAATATTGCTTCCTCATTTCTAAAGAAATAGGCGTGTCTCTATTGAACAATTGACAGTCGATAAGAAAGACCCCAATGTTCCATTCAAATGAAAAATTTTATCACTTAAATGCGCATCATAAGTTTCTGTGATGTAAAACAGGAAGAACTGCAATTTAGGTAACGTTACTAGTGGATGATAAACATATAGTTACATGTAGTGTATACTTGAAATTTCATTACTTCCTTAAGTTACACAAATGCTTCTAGTCTTATTAGAAATTTTTATCACCATTTTAACAGCATGAATATGCAGTCTCACAAGTCATCATGGTCATAGCAATGAACAACAAGAAAAAAAAATTTCTGTTTAGCTCTACTAATAAAGAAAACAATTGAAACAAGAAAACCTCTTTAAAAAATAGAATTTTTAACTATTGAATTTTTAAAATCTGAAATCAAACATTAAATTTCAAATATGTAAGCATGTTAATTAAGCACTGTTAAGTGGTACGTGAAATTAACGTGTAGTCACTTTTTGCAAACTATTTTAATTTCCCTGAATTTTGTAATTTTACAAACTCTCAATATTTCTAAACAAAGAGCTAAAAGTCATTCAGTGATAATATGGAATAGATTTAAAGTATGGTTTAAATGATCAAGTGCATTACATAATAAATTGAACTTGTGGGAGCACTGTAGGCATTATCACATATTTGAATTTTTTCAAAGAAAAAAAAAAATGCTAGATACTTTTAAATAAATTGAATAATTTCTAAATTGGAATTCCAGTGTCCATTAGGCAATTGTAGTAAAGCTTACATTAAGCTGTAGCTTAATCGTGAGCATTTATAAGTTGGTTATCATGCAGTTAACGTTGCACTTCCTAATTTGAAGTGTTTGAACAAGATGATTTAGAGTTTTGAAAACAGGGTGAACCTATCACCAAAGACCAGGTCACATGATCAGTGAAGCATGACTGTTCATAATTGTAGTCACATGGGTCTGTCACAAGGCTCATAAATTCTTTATAAAAAGACATTTACACTAAGTTGTTACCCACTTCCACATTAGCCGGAGAAAGAGACAGGTAAACCTAATACATGTAGTAGAAACAATTGACTACAGCTGTGATATAGTGTCATGTACCTGCATGTACAAAAATCTTAAAAATTTTTGAACATGTTTTGAAGGAGAAATGTTTTTGGCTTAAAAGTATTGAAACTAATTAACATTAAATTTTTATAATACCAGTAATTTTTATAAGAATATTTTGTACCCTGCTGTATCAGACCTGTGAATTTAGTTCAAACTTTTATCATGTTTATATCAGAACAACTTGGACATAATATTATTACTTCTTGAATGTCTGCAATGTGTGCACATATTAAAAATCACAATTCTGGTCCCTTTGAGCATATTTGATAATTTATTTGAATTAGTTGGATCTAAATGATTTGTGAAAAGCAATGGTAGGAGAGGTGGGGGGAGGGGGATGGGGAGCGGATTAATTATTATACAGGTGTATATTTCTTTTGAGAATATAATAGTTTTATTGAACTTTTTACTTAACTTGAAGAAGATATATATACATATATAGTATTTACATGTTATATGAGGATAAGAATCTCAAATTGACAAGGAGCCTCTAAGGTTATTCACTCTAGACTTGTAATTACTGTAATGTCCTTGCATTAAAAGAAAAGTGGATCAATTGACTTACGTATAGAATTTAACTAGATTGAGTGTACTTTTTCAGTGGTATGTCATATTCAGTGTATGGAATCCATGCTTTGATGTTTGATGGAAAACCCAGTCTTAAGTATTTTCAGTAAATTGAGGAGAATTTTAGAGGTTTATGTCACATTTTACATCCTGTTCTTTGTAATATGTGCATTAAAAGCAATCTTTCATTTTAACATGAAAAACACAGGAAATGTTGTACCTGAACTAGGTTAAAAGCTGTTGATTGTTAAAAGACAGAATCAAGTGCAGCTATACATGCATGACGAAATCACAGGTGAAATCTGATGTTATCTTGACATTAAAATGACTATAAATTTGTTTACGTTTTGTTTAAATTTCTTTCAGGTTTTCTAAGAATCAGTAGAAGATGAACAGTTTGTGGTTTGTGTGTTTACTGGCTGTGGTGAGAGGGGCATCCGTCCAGTACGGGAATGTCCAGTGGTTCGACATTCAGGAGGCCCAGAAACACCCAGAACAGTTACACATTCTAAGAACAAAGGCAGGGATCAACTTCCAACCATACGAACAGGCCTGGAAGGAATTCAAGATCCTGCATGGTATGCCCATGAATTTCTAATACTGCCAACAAATATTATAACGCTTGAATATTTACTTCACTGGGGAGAGAAAAAAAAATCAGTCAGTATTATTTTGCATTATTGATCTGCTCCCCATTTTTATTATTTAGCAATTTAAATATTTTACTGATTCATCTAACATTTTAATGATGGTGGTCGGGGGGACAGAGTTATTATGCATCTAGTGAATTAAATTACAGGGGAAACAAATGAAAAAAAAATGCAGTTATTTGCCATTGTTAATATAAGCATGGTATAAAATTTTAGACTTCAAGTGTTGTTGAGGACTTATTTGTTTTCTGTTAGGTGCTCTCTTTTATGATTTTAAGTGTTGCCAAAAGCAGCGCTCTAAATCTTGATTGGAATTAATTAGTCACTAGAGTATAGAGTTTCAGAACAGTTTTGGATTGTCTGATTTATGAACAGGATGTTGCCTCTTCAAATCAAATCCAGTGTAAAGATTGAATTGTCATGAAAGTTTTGTGAAATGGTACATAAAATTTACAATGTGATTTGGTGTTTCTTTACATATAGTACATTTAGAAAACTCACATTTTTATCAAACTATTTACCTATGGATTGCCTATTTCACAATTCAACACTAAGTTTAGTAATTTTTCCATATGAAAAAAAAAGTATATGTTGTTGTGGTAATCTGTAAAAGAGATCTTTCTGGAGAGTGAATCTTATTATCTTATATTTGAAATAGTTATATACCGGCAGGTCTGGACATATTATTGAGAATGTGTGAATAAAATAATGAAACTTTATCTCACTAAACTTACTAATTTTAGTTATATAGTCATAGATTTAATTGATATATTGATTTTCGAAGAAAAAAAGAAGCTTATGTCATCCATTTTTAGGGAACTTAATAATTTCCAAAGGACTTAATCCTTATAAGCAAGTTTCTGCAAATATAATTGTGATATCAACCAAGTTGACTTAGAGGCTTTTAAGATTCATATTGTAAATCTGGCCTAAGTGTGTCAAAATTTTATGATCCACCTCAATGTCAAGGCATTTTGTGGTGATTATGTGTATTACAGTGAAGAATCTGGTCTTTTTACATATCACATGTAATTTTTGTTACTGCAGGTAAAACCTACAAAGCTCTTGAAGAGGAGATCCATCGCTTTGAGATTTTCAGAGAAAATGTCCAGAAAATTGAGGAACACAATAGATTATACCATCTGGGGAAGAAATCTTACTATATGGGAGTCAACCAATTCTCTGACCTTGTAAGTACATGTAATAGATCAGTTGTGTCATTTGTAAATCTTTTAGTTAGATATACTTATATATTTAGAAAGCGGGTATGTTTTAAAATGTGAGTAAAATTGCTCATAAATTACATAAATTATGATTTTGGGGGCTTTAAAATGTGTACTGGTAGATATTATTCATTCACAAATTTAGGATTCCAAAGAGAGTAGAATTCCATATATATAAACTATACAAATAGCATATACATGTACTCATCAGATAACTAGTTTGATTCTGTTCTAATATTTAGTAATCTTAAAGTGGTTACTTAAAAACTGACCACATTTCAGGATATTTGCTTTGATAATGTTAGATGTGATCAACATGAGAAATGATCACATGATATGTAAACAAAATCACATGACATTAGTCACATGACATTAGTCATGGTTGAGGAATATTTAATGAAATCTGGTGACTGTAGCAATCTGTTACGAAGTAAGGGAGGGGTTTTATTGCCATCTCATTAAACTTCACTTACCCGATTCAGATTTGAACATCTATATTCGTATCAAGTTTTTATATACTGATAAAAATAATTTCCTGTATAAATTACAGTCCACTTGATAAGTTATAGAATTTTTAATGAACCTCTTTGTGCAGCTGTGCATGAGCATGTCACAAGTTTAAAAGCAGATGCTCTTCCTGATAGAAGTACCATTTTCAAAAGGGTCCAATTTTCATTTATTTGATAAAAGGGTGCATTAGATATTGGTTCCTGAATTCTTATTATATGTTTCCTCATACTACAATATAACAATTGGGGACTTTGTACTAGGCACTGTTGACTTTCATAGTTCATGTAGTTTCATATCATTTTATTGAATAATTATTCGCATGCTTATCGAATGAAATGATAGATAAAAAATGTTTGGTTAATTTAAAGAAAGGAACAGGGAAATGTACATTCATGAGTATGAAGTCAGGAAATAAATAACAGTAGATGTTAAGAGTACTTAAATCCTTCATGTCTTTATTTTGAAGCTATTCAATATTCTCTATGAACTGCATGATTTGGTTAACTTCCTATAAACCTCATTAGAATACTTTATTAGCAGCAAATGTGTTCAAAACATACATTTGCATGTTTTAGGGAGAGGGCTAAAATAGGCTATGCCTGCTGCCTAATCCCATTCACTTCATGTGAATAAAATTATGTATAAATAAAAAAAAAAAATACATTTGCTGGCAGCCTAACTCGGTACTTTTCATTGAGCAATTATAAAAGGAAATATGCTTCATTAAAGCTATTATGTAATGAATATTAAACAAAAAATTAATAATATTACTGAAAATCACTTTTATTTGTGAGAACTTTATTTTCACTTAATTACAGGAGATGGTCTGCTTGCATGACCAATGAATGAATAATTAAATTCAATGATAACCAAAATTTGAGAATTTTTTTCTCACTTATAAATACCAAATATAACGATCTTGAGAAAATAAGGTGTCACGAAAATTTAGTAATCTACACTCTACAGCGTATGTTTAGAAAAAGCATAATCCTCCATGTCTCATTATTTTGTACATTAGAATATTATGTCTTTGGGTGATAGTCATATTTAACTTGTCCTTTAAGGATTAGGTAAAAAAAAAAAAATATGAATTTTTCATTTGTAGAAACACGAAGAGTTTGTGAAATACAATGGTTTAAACAGAACGTCAGTGAAGGAGGGTGGCTGCTCCTCATACCTTTCAGCCAATAATCTAGTGGCTCCTGATTCTGTCGACTGGAGAACCAAGGGTTACGTCACAGATGTAAAAAATCAGGTAGGTGTTTTTACGCCTAACATAATGTTTAGAAATAAAGTGGCTTCTTTGAGAAAGAATGCACTTACTCAGTTTTACATGCTTTATCACAAGGAATTATGTTCATCAATAGAGTTGAAGATTCTTTAATTGATTATTTAATTTTTTCTCTTCATATAGGGTCAGTGTGGTTCCTGCTGGTCTTTTAGCACAGTAAGTTTGAATTTTATAATACTTTCATTTGAATGATGCTCCACTTCATTCAAGCAATTTCAAAAATGAAACTTAACATCAGTGTGTTTTACTTACTTGATTTAATTTTAAAAACTTCCTTAAAAATTAGATAATTAATAATTTTCCACCCTTCTTGATTATTTTCCCTCCAATTTATCAACTCAATGCAAATTTGGCTTTATAGACTGGTTCCCTTGAAGGACAACACTTCCGTAAAACAGGTAAACTGGTCTCCCTCAGTGAACAACAGCTGGTGGACTGCTCTGGGTCATTTGGAAATCAAGGTTGTAATGGAGGACTGATGGACAATGCATTCAAATATATTAAATCAGTAGGGGGCATTGAAAGTGAAGAGGATTATCCATACAAAGCAGAGGTAATTTTCACTCTACATATCACTATGTAAACAGCTAATGGAAAAATGTAAAACGGGTTTAAAAATAGTTTTGCTTTACAGGTGATTGCTAAAGCTTCTTTTAATTCTTTGTTGCATGTTCACTTATTTGTAGGAAAAAACTTGTAAATTTGATGAAGAAAAGATTGCTGCTACAGACACTGGATGTGTTGATGTCGAGAGTGAAAGTGAGTCAGCCCTCAAGAAAGCTATAGCCGAGGTCGGTCCTGTATCTGTAGCAATAGACGCCAGTCATTCATCATTCCAGTCCTATGCAGGAGGTGAGATATAGTTCTAGGGTGTTCAGCAAAGTAGGAATGAAATCATTCTGCAAAAAAATTTTAATTTGTTTGAAAAATAAATTGATTTTATACTCATTTCCAAAGAAATTTTGGTAAAGTAACTATTTCTCAGTTGTTGGAATATTGAAAGTTGCTGAGAAAGGAATGCTTGTTTGTTTTAGGAGTGTATGATGAACCAGACTGTAGCTCAGAGCAGTTGGATCATGGAGTTTTAGCTGTAGGATATGGAACTGATGATGAGGGAAAAGACTACTGGATTGTTAAAAACAGGTAAGATCACTTTGTCTAGAGTTTGTTTGTCCTTGGAGGAGTCACATGTTCACCTAAAAAAAGCACAAAACTTTTTTATTATTGATCATATAATTAATAGCGATTCTCTGTAACCACTTAAACTTCTTTGCCACGCATAGTCACCGATTTTGATGAAACTTTGCCCATTATTACAACTTGACACCAGAAACATATATCAAATAAAATTTCGTTGCTATGTGTCTTGGTTGCCATGGTAACAGCCAGAAAAGTTGAAAAAATTGAGATTTTCAGCTACTTTGAATCTTTATTACGCCTTAATAAAGACTAAGAAAAACAAACAAACCATTCTTCCAAAAACATGACACCTTGTTGCCACTTATGCTATAAAGAAACTATTTAGAATTTATCTCTTAGTAAATGGTAACCATGGGTACATTTGGAATACATTTTAGATGCTGAAAAATGCTGAAAAACGCTCAATATTCACCAATGATAGATGTTACATGATCAAACTCAATCAACAACCTAAGAAAAACAATAAAAAATATTTGACCTTATGTAATTAGGTATTGGCAATATTATTCTAAAAATAACTTTCATGGTTGCCATGGTAACACAGCGTAACCATGCAAAATTGTTGCTATGATTGGGTTAATGCTACTATCTTGAGGAAAAACAATAAAATTCATGACTAACACATATGCATCCTTGGAACCTTGCAACACCAACAACATAAGAAAAATTGGGATTAAATGTTACTTTGCATTGTAACCATGGAAACAACGTATCAGTCGTTTAAAGTGATATTTTTTGGTCCTTTAGGAATTTACTTACCTTTTTAATCAAGAAACATATTATTTGACTCACCTTGAATACTACTTAACTGGTAGAACTAAAGTTGAATATCATATATTGATAAAGTTTGTTGAAAAATACAACACTGTTGCTATGGTTATTAAGAAGGGATAATGTTCAATTTTGTTAATTTTATATCAATATTAAACCCTATGTGCCAGCTTTTTGCATCCAGTTAGAGATTGGGTGGTAGTCAAAATTCAAAGTCAGGTTAGTTGTTCATATATATCAATCATAAAAGTTTTGGGAATCTACTTACAAGGGTGCGTATCCAAGGAAACAGAATATATTTCAGATTTTTATGCATATTTTTTTGGCTAATTTCCATAGCAACGCTCTATTTAAAGAATTGAGTTTAAATTTTTTGAAATGTAAAAATTAGGGTCACACCAATGCCTTTAAAAATTGATCATCAGTTATATAGAAATATGGTTTTTAAAAAGATAGGATAAGATTAAAACACTAAGAGAGTAAATTTAAAATCCTTTCGAGGTAAATAAACCATAGCAACCGTTGCCAACCTATAAGAAATATCATATTTCGTCCTTGGTATATGTTACAAGGATCTCTTGTCTATTATTTGCTTGCATTTCAACATATAATTGTTTTTATTCTTAAGTATATGACTTTATAAAATTAAATGATCAAAATTATTACTTTTGAATTCTTTGTTTCCATAGTAACGTATGTAATAGTTGATTTACCAAACATGTTTATCATGCATTTAAGACATCAGGCCTTCAACTTTCAGAAACAGTCATTGCCACTTGTTTGCTTTGCTGCAAACGTTAGCTGGAGGATTCTGAACATGTTGAAAAATGCCATTTTTCAAACTTTAGGACATGTTGCTATGGTAACCATGACACGTAGCAACCAATTTTTGCCTGATTTGAGTTTACGGTATCAAAGACTTTTATCATAGAGAGTTTGGAGAAATTCTGAGACTATGCGTGCCACAGCTCCTATATAAAAGTTCAAGTCATTACAGAGAATGGCTCTTAAAACTATACATGTCCACCAGGACCTTTAGTTGGTGAATAAACACAGTCTTATTTCAAACATATCACCAAGAAACCATGAAAATATGCATCATTAAAAAAAACTTGATTCCTTAGTTACAAATGAATTTTACATTAATCATTAACTTATTTATAGAAAGTCATATGTAGCTTCCCTCATTACCATGGTGTACCTGTAGGATACACATGTTTTTGAATGTACTTCTTCTTAAAAAAGTTTATAAGAAGGAGAGAGAATACATGTACATAGACATGTAAATTTTTTGCTTCCTTCATCATTTTCAAGAAAGCAATACTTTATTACTCAGTTTAACAGCACATCATTTTTCACCTCACCTTCATTCCAGAGAGATAAGAAGATAATTCCTGATCATTTCCTTTTTTATAATTACTATAAACTTGTTTTTCCTGTAGTTGGGGTACAGAGTGGGGTATGGATGGATATGTCAGAATGTCCAGAAACAAGGACAACCAATGTGGAATAGCTACACAAGCCAGCTATCCTCTTGTATAGAAAACATACAGTGAGTATTTATTCAATCTTAAATAACAGAACTGGTTTCTTATGGAAGAATATGTAAAGTATATAGACTTGGCTAATAATGGTAAGAAATTCCATGGTAGCTTGTAAAGTTTTTCTCTTTTTTTTATTTTTAAAGATTTTCTTATTGTCAAAACTACTGATAATTTCTTTCCAGACAATATTTGAATATTTTTTCCATCATGTGTCATAGCCTGCGCTTTTTGTTTACAGTTATAAAGATACAGCATTCCCAAGGAAGAAAAACCACTCAAGATAAATCAAAACCTGGAAGTAGATACATTTCTGAAATTTTTGAATAAGAGAACTGTTGCACATGTTATATATCTTTAACTTTTACACAATTTGACATCACTTTTCTTTGTGAACCTAAAAAGAAATTAAACCAAACTTACATACATGTGTATGGTGTAAATTCAAACTTTGTAAAGTGTTTTCAAATATGTCATTGTAAATGACAAAATGAAGTTGTGAAAGCTTATAATTTTGTCCTGATTGTGCAAGTGTGTTTTATGAGATGTATGACTTTGTCCGGTGTGGCAATAAGCCCAAGCCTTTCTTAATACTTGTAATTATATCTGTATGGACCTGTGATAAATTTGTTCATATAAGATCATTATTAGATTTTTACACCTGAATGCTGAATTTTTGGCTTACTGGAGATAGAATTATACATCTTATAGTTGTAAATGGTGTTTATTTTGTTTTATACACTGTAACTTCTGATTATTTCAATCATATCCCCCCATATTGATCATTAATAGAAGTTTTAGTTAAAAAATCGTTTATTGGTTTTTTCCTACATTTTTCTGCCATCAAAAGAATCTACTGTGTTTGAGATCTGTTATTTATGTATAAACAATATATCTATTTCTCTCAGTATTTGTGATTCTCTTCAATTTTTCTGTTGAATATAAAGCAGGTGCATTTTTTTCCATTTTTATTAACTTTGCTGAAGAAAATAACATCAAATTTTGTATTAATCACTTGTAATGAAAAAAAAATGTCTATGAATAAAAATCTTTTTATTTTCAATCAAGTTTTCAGTGTTTATTCTTTCACAAAATTGCTGTTAATGAAATTCAACTATGAGGAAGAAAAGGCTATGTTGCCCCAAAAAGCAAGAGAAATAGGATAGCAGGATCAGCAAAACAATTTGGTGCTCAGTAACAAATTTTAAGATTGATCTATTTGCTTGTCTATTCTTGCCCCCATTATTCACTATCCCCATGTGGGCCAAACAAAGTACATGTAATAGTTCTTGAGTATTATTTGTAAACCCATCTCATTTCCCCTCACTTTGGCCTCTCTTAGTATTTGAACTTGTACAAAGATAAGGTATTTTTGTCCAAATTTTATTGAACTATTATTCAAAAGTCTAAAAGTCTACCTCACCATTAAAAAATATGACGGCACTTTTAGTATCAAATATGATAAGAATTCTTGTTTAATTCTGTTATTCAATTGACCTTTCATTTACTTTTTTTTACATTGATTTAATTTGAATTATCATAGGTGAATAGCATAGGGGATAAAATACAGATTAATAGATTGACCAAATGGTGCAAAATTTCAAAACTCTAATAAAAATACCCTTGCTAAAAGACAATTTTTAAAAAATAATGCATTTTCCCTATAGATTCAACATAGCCCCATCCTAACACCAGAGGCACCCTTGCTCATCATAACCATGCACTTAGTATGTATGCCAAATATCCATGCGCAGAAATGAAAATTTTCAAAGAAATAATGCAATTTTACTATATATCCCAAAGAGCACAACCCTAACACAAAACCCATGACTCCGGGGTCATAAAGAAGATGGGCGAACAAGGGGAGCACAATGCCTATAGTGCAACAAACACTGAGGTGAAAAATTAAATCTCAGTTATAACAAAATTTTCTTTGATATTTTATCTAAAATTAAAGTATACTTTAAGTAAAATCTCCACATGAACTGTTTGGTCGCCCGCGTGGTGCAGTGGTTAGAGCGTCTGCTGTAGAGTTGCGAAGTAAGGAGTTGATCCTTACGTCGCAGGTTCGAATCACACTGTGGGACGTGGAGACCGGTTCTTCGGATGAGACCGTATAAACCGAGGTCCTGTGTCGGCACGGTGCTGCCACGAAAAAGATCCCTCACTGCTCAATGACCGTAAGTGCCGAGTATAGGACAAAATTTGCAGCTCTCCACCGGCAAGTGATGGCGTCTCCATATGAATGAAAAATTCTCGAGAGGGAAGTTAAACAACGTACAAACAAACAAACAAGTTAACTGTTTTGTTAACAGGACATGAGCTCTGTTATTGTTAATGTTTACGTTTCACTGGGTGTGTTCAATTTGTTATACTCTGCACACATCACTGAGCATGGACTGACAATACTGGTGAGTTGGTTTTGCTTGCTCACATTTCTACTCTGAATTTTCTGGATTATATTTTTAATATTTTTCATTAATACACAACAAAAGCATCATTGAATCATTGAATTTTGGCCCCGCCCCAGTCTTTGAAGCCCTTAAAATATACGAGCGCAAATAGGTACATTTTTCCCCTTTGGATGGTCGCTGTATTTGATTGAAATCTACCTGTATGTGAAAGGAGAAAATTGTACCTAACTGTGCTCAAATGTTGTGTTTAACATGTTTAAAACATTGTAAAATCTGGCTGGTCTTCCCCATTACGAACAGATAGACGAAACATTTTTTTTCCTGACGTAAGAATAAATTCATATGTTAATCGAGGCACCGGCGTGACTTTCTAACCGACCAATCAGCTAAATGAGTTGCATTACGAGTGAGTACTACAAAAATTCTAAGGAAATTTAATGCTTGGAAAAAAGGCATATTTTTTTTTTTCTTGTTTTTCGATAACATTTTTTTATTCATTTGAGTCACATTTTAGACACGACTCAACTATTTCCCCGCTCATAAATACAAACATATATATATATATATATATATATATATATATATATATATATATATATATATATATATATATATATATATATATATATATATACATGTACATTGTATAATTTCATACTTTTGTAAAGCGTCGTTGGGCAATTCGCTACACGTATTCCCGAGAATGAGTGAATACACGTTTCACTGAGAATTTTTTCGACCCAAAACGGTAAACACTGAGGTTACATACGTATTATCATGTATAAAAAGCCTTTGTTGACCATAACAAAGTTTGAAATGTAGTAGAGATAATTTGTAAATTGACTTTAGCCTCGTGTCTGTGATAAAATGTAAACATATAGTAAACCAGCTTGTTTTGTCGTTCAGTCATCGGATTGGACAATTGTTCTCGGTAAGCAACTATGTGCGAAATAATAACAATAGCCATATAAGGTAGATTCCTCGGACATGCATACCCCTGTTTTGTACTAAAACCCGCCTATTCTCTTTTCATAAAAGATCCTATTGTCACAAACCAGGCCGAATTTCGCTCTCATTGGGTCTAACAAATCGTAGATGTTGCAGTAATCCTCATAATTAAAATGTGTTGGAACTTTTGGTCCTATTCAAAAGGCGTCGTATTTATTCACTTTTCTTTGAAAACTATCAAAATCATTGTACACGAATAAATGTAATTCGTCGTAGAAAAAGGGGTCGCCGAAAGTAGTTTTGGCACATCATCCTTTGTACAATATATATTTTTAAGGATAAAGTTTACTTTGTGAAAGTGCGATTATGTGTCAATCAAACGCCTCCCGAAATTCGTAGTTTCAATAATTTTTTTTAAATCATATTTCCTCGTGAAATGCTATAGCAGCATATACGAGGGTTGTTCGTAAAGTTCGTGGACTTCTGTCATATCTTTTTTTATTTAACGTCATATTATATCCAAATTTGGCAGAAATATTTTAACAATAAATTCAAATGATTTGTATCGAAAATTTTAAAAATATCTTGATTTATTTTCAAACTTATTAGGAGTTAAAAACCGCGAAAATTGATTCGCGGAGCAAGTCAAAATTTAGTATTTTACAAACAACACACTAATTAATGTCTGTAGTCATATCCTCTGCAAAATGACTCAAAACCAAAATAAAACTGGACGATCAAATTAAGAATTGTAAAATCGTTTCATATTCCAAATTATGAATTAATAGTTTACCTCATGGAAAGGAAGTCAATTTCTGAAGATAGGTAGCCCTTACTGAGAAAGGCAAAATAGGTGACGTCCGAGAACGTCACGGAATGGCAGATTACGATACAATTTTCTGTTGCACTCTTAAAAAAGTCAGAATGAAATCTGAAAATGTTGTAGGAAGCATGAAACATCTCAAAAGCGGGTCATGCATGTGTGTGTAAATGGCCCAGGCGGTATTTGAATGATATCGAATGGAATGTAACTTCAAAAATCAACATAATAAATATTTTTACATATGATAATGCGCTTATTTTAAGTTTCTTGTAAGTAGTATAACGAAGATTGACATCGTCTACGAACTTTTCGAACAACACTCGTAAGTCACGATATTATACAGAAAATTTGAAAAAATATTAATTTCAGATCTGTGTCCCTTTAAAATATAGAACAAAGTTCTGTGGCCATTTCAGGAATAAAACGGGGAATAAACCAAATAACTAATAATAAATAAATAAAATAAACTTACCCAGAAAGGGTGGATTCTGTTCATTAAATATTAAACATACAGTACATATATACAGTCATATAGTTGAAATCTTGATTTTGTTAATGCTCTTAATTGTCAGTCCAGTCTGATTTCTAAAGCACGTGATTTTAAATAGCCGGGTAAAACTTGCTGGAAAAGCTTAAAAGTATGGATCAAAATTTGGGCAAATAAATACTAGTTATACAGTTTGCTGATAAAAATAAAGAAACAATTATGGACATGAATTAAAGACTATAAGTATTGGACTAAAAATATTGCACAATTTCATCACAACTTGAGGTTTCCAAAACTTAATGATTTTTCATTTTAAATTTTACTGTAGTTAGGAATGCAGCAGAATTGCTTTATAATTAGCAGCAATGACACTCATATCTCTTTACTACAAAATAAATTACAGAAAATACTTGATACTTTTTGTAGTTGAAATCATTATGTATATCAACAAACCACAAGCATGTTTAGACATTTTAAGTCATGTTCAATTCATGGAATAGTTTTTATCACTAAACAAGTTTTTTTTTTCAAAAATAGATATTACATAAGCAAATAAGAATATTTTGAAGTCAATAAAATATGGGGGAAAAATCCCGTAAATGATAAAAAAATATCAACTATGAACAGCTTTACATGAATGGATATTGTGTGTTGAAATGTTCTAAAACCATATTTTATATATATATATAAAAAAACATACCAGATGTCTGGAGTGCAACAAAGGTTAAAAGGGTTCACTATAAAATCTAGGGTTCACTATAAAATCTATTATTTACTATACTTACTATATATCTAACTTCTTTTCTTACTTAGGTTTGAAGAATGGACAAAATTCACTAGTAAGTGATTTTTTGGGAATTTATTGCATCACATTTCTTTCATATCAAAACTTTTCAAACCAAAAATGAGGCAATTATTGTTAACCTGGAACAAGCTCATTGGGATCGAGTCAGCAGTGATTAACCAAATTTCTGTAGGTCTGTAGGTGGCTTCCAGCTCTTCTCTACCATAACCAGCAAGATGACTTTTCTGTTGGGTTTGACAGTCCCTGTATTACTTTCTTCTGTCTTTCCCTATGAATAATTCCCAGAGCTAAAGTTGCCGAGTCAAGGATAGATTGTTTCTGGGTTTGGCAACTTCTGATGTTTTACATGTACCTTCTTACACAAAGTTGATGAATTGTTTTTCTTTGTTCTTTCTGTTGCCAATTAAATCAAATTAAATAGCTTTAAAAAATGTTGCTTAAAACATGAAAAATACAGGCATACGATATTAGCATGGCTTCAAAGAAATTCAACTAAAAAGATGAAGTTATTAACTCTTCTCTGTCGGAGCAAATTTAGTTATTCTCAGTGAGCTAATCCTTATGATTTAATACTAAATCTACTTTG